AGGATTGTACGGTGGTTGACGGTCACTTTGAGACAGTCCCGTTAATCTACATTTTACTTCTTACTATATATTTATATAGAGGAAGCGTATACTTAAGTTTGCAATAATAAATATTTTTTGATTTTGCGATACTTTAATTTTTGATATTATTTACTAATTAAAAACAATAGTGGTTATAAATTTGGTAAAATAAAATCCAATGTAATTATAATAATAATACAAGGGTCGCCCTTTGAGTAAATAAATCAATATTTTTTTCAGATATTCTAGTGATTAAAATTATTTTAAATTTTTTTATTAGGTTGATATGTAGTAATAATTATAATAATCAAAGTATAAGTAAAATAAATTGCATTTCATCAAAGATTCCTTCTAAATTATTCTTCAGAAGATAATATTTCATTTGATGAATAATTTAAATGCAACAATCAAATTCAAAGACAAAATAACTATAATATTAACAAATAATCTGAAATCATTTTTAAGTTTTTCTATATACTATTACCAACTACCATCTGAATCTTCTTTCTCACAAATATAATATACATTTATTATTTTTTATTTATGTAATTTATTAAAAAGTTAAAAATTTTTTTAAAACAAAATTACAATTTGATTGATTATTTGTCATATGTTTCGAGATTATTTTTGCATTATGAGTTTCAGCAATTAATTTTTAAACTTTGATCTGCCATCGGATTGAGTTAGAGTTAGCTGTACTGAGTCCTGTGATTTTGATCAATCGGACCAAACTAAATTTACATGACTGATCTACATTTTATTTTTTTTTCTTATATTTAATAATTATTAGTTGTAGATTTAAATAAATATTATTTATACAATAAAATTCATAGCAAAAATTAAAGTAGCAGTGCTTTGCATCTTAATTTTAATGAAACAAGAGGTTCTTAGCAATTTATACTATATTTGTGAATACATTTCGCATTAGCTTATTACAACCATTATCCCATTAAATATTTAAATTAGTAAAAAAAAAAATTCTTTTTAATAACTCTCGTTATAAAGCGAATAGCAAAAAAAAAATTCGTGTAGTATATTCAATCGGACCCAAGTAATTTAAGGACCACATAGTCCGATGATCTGGACCCAAATTCACATGACTGGACTCAGAAAGATCATCGGACCGGACACCGTAAGTCATAACCTATAACCTATATTTAAGACATATGATAATAACATAAAAGAGTTTTTGATCATGCGTTATGCACTAACACATGAAAATGACCGTGACAAATAGCGTGTGACGATATTAAACCATCATATTGTTACCAATGAAGGCGAAGTAAAAGAGATGTACAAGCAAGAGTAATTTGCCACGTTTTACTATATTGCGCCATGTTAAAATTTACAACTGAATGGAAGAGCCACTTTAAATTAGTAATATGAAAATGCGAGATTTTCGATGTCAATAATTATTTCGAACCACGGTTATCCGTAAATTATTAGCATATAAAGGAATAATTTAGAATCATGGCACGGGCAAATAATACAAACAACAATATGTTAAATACTATCAAAACATTGGCAACCAATATATGTATAATTAGAGATTTAATTTAATTTATTTACTATTAATATTCATTAGAATTGATCTACGTCAACATAAAGAATATTTTTATCAGAACAATAAAATAAAATATGTAATAGTAATAAAATTTAAAACACATTACATTTAACATTTTGAATTTAATAATCAAAAGTACCCATATTGCGCGTCACGTTCAAAATACTCTACTGGCTCCGCGTCACGCTTAATCTCATCCCGTTTTATAAACGCCTCATCATCTGTGTTACGTTTATACATTCCATTATTAATATTAATTAAAAAAAAAGACCTCAGCATAACAGATAAAGAAATTGTTTATTAGTACCCGCTGAAACAATAGTACTAAATATAAAAATCAATAATAAGTATTTTAACTGCATGATTGACGGATTTTGCGTATGATATATATAATTTTTAATTTGTTGATTATTAATTTGTTTTTAAAAGCAATTTTCTCTCTTCTTTCTCCAAGTATTTGTGTAAGAAAATATTTCTATAGTAGCACGTATTTCAAATTATTTTATGATTACATTTTTTTGATAATTATTACATATCAATAAAGGCGAAGGAAGCGTACAAAAGTATTTTTGTCACGTTTTTCTATAGTATTACGCCATGTTAAAATTTACAATTGAAGAGCAGAGCCACTTTAAATTAATAATATGTAAATGCGAGATTTTGATATCAATAATTATTTTGAGCCTCAATCATCTGTAAAATTGTCGTTTTATTAACGAAGGAAAAGCTAAAAGGGATGCTACGAGAGTATTGTTTGTCATTTTTTAAAAATTGCGCCACAATCGGAATGAACAGAGCCACTTCGAAATATGGAAATAGATGATTTCTATTTTTTAAAAAATAAAATAAAATAAATAAGTAAAAAATAAAAATAAAAAAATAAAAAGATTATCCAAAATGATATTATCAAACAAAATCGTATATATTATATAATAATAGTATGTCTCATTTTTTCCTGATTTGAATAATTGTCATTAGATTTATATTTTAGGCAATTTAAGTTACATCATGAATTGCTTTCACTTTACATAATCACATCATCACGTGAACTGTAAAAAAGTCCCTTATAAAAGACTAATAAATCACCCGATGCAAAATCTTACGCTACTCTCTTTTTATTACGTACAAGTATCCATTTGAATCAATCCTTTTGTTACTTAAGTTATATTCCGAACACTGCTTCAGCAGGCATTATGTAAAAATTAAGAGTACCGAAAATAGTAGTGTACGAGATTCTTAATTGCATAAAAATTTACTGCATTTGTATTTTTATTTTTATGAGATCAGACGTTTTCGGGTATTATTCATTTCAATAAACTCATCTATACATTTTTACACGAGCTTGACATTTAATATTAATGTCGGAACTATTTCTGTAACGAATTCATATTTTTTTCTCTAAATAAGTACTTTTGTATGTTTTTAACTTGTGAAATTTCTTTATTAATTCTAGAACTTTGAAGAAAAGAGGGTTAATATTACTTTAGATGAAATAATTCACCTTTAGATAAATATCCATCAGATGGAAACTAAAAAAAAGATTTGCCACGCATAGCATCTTATTTTGTTACTGTACTGAACACTTTGGCTTGATCATTATCAAAGTTCTAAAATTAGTTGACCTATTTTATTCTTATTTTTTTTCAAAAAAAAAAAAATATTGTGTAAATTATAAAATTCATTGTTTAAATTCACAAATCTGGCTCTTAGTACGTCAGTTACAAAAATTCTTTAAGATTATGTGTCAGTTTGCAGATTCATAAATTTTTAAAAATTTCAGTAATTAATTAGCTATTTTATCTAAATAATCTTTTAAATCAAGGTATTTTAGATCAATATTTTAGTAATCAGTTATAAAAAAAATTTTAAGGCTTGCTAAGAAAATGGTTCTTTAAACTTTACTATATTTTATGGTGAGAAAGGAATTTGAATAATTTTATTTTTATGTGTTTTCATATAATTATTTATTATGAAAAAATTTAGTTTGAATAGTGTTATCACTATCTCAATATTTAAGACTTAATAACATAATAGAGTTTTTTGATCATATAATAGTATTATATTTACTAGGAAACGGGAACCGTTGTAAGTCCGGAGCGAAAAACTAAAATTTGCGATTTCATTGGGCGACGATCACGTGGCGGACAGAGAAATTCACGTGATCGATTTAGTGCGTAGACATATATTGTCCTTCGCTTCGCTCCGGACAATAAATCCAGGACTAACAAGTTGATAAATTTTTTTAGCATTTTTATTAGAAAAATGCCTAACCTTATTTTAAATAAACAAATGGCCTAATAATATTATTTATTCATTTTTTTTCATAATATCATAAATAAATTTTATATTAATAAATTAAAAATACATACATTTCGATAGATTTTTTTTAAACCAATATATTTATTGATGTTTTATGTTTACATAGTATTTAATAATTGAATAAGTTATTTATAAATAAAGAATTATTTAAATTACAAACTAAGAATCTTCTTATTACTCTAATCTTAGTGTTTAAATAATTCAAAATATAAACATAAGTAATAAAATAATAAAATAAAATTGGATTTGATTTAATTCGTAAAATCATTCTAAAAAAATAAACGTATTAGTAAAATAAATTGTAATAATTATTTAAATATTTTATCAGTATTTTTGAACAATAAACAAACCATAAGAAATTTCCAATCCATCTTATTCTTCGGAGGATTATTATATACTTCAACTTCATCTAAAAAATAAAATAATATAAGATAAATTATTATTTAAAAAGCAAATTAATGAATATTACTTACCAATAATATCAACATTTGGTTTTTGTTGTATTGTTTCTTCATCATAATAATTTTGAATATCTATGTTATTAAATAATCAAATTTCGTTCCTTATCTTCAAACAATGAAATAAGAAAATTAGAATTGAACTATTAATAAATATTTTACTTACCATTCTCCATTTTCAATTTTTTAGATAATCTGGATGATCCTTTATCATTATCTTATAAAATTAAATTTACAAATTAATACTTATTTGTTATAAAGTCTTATATAAAAATAAATTACCTTCGTTACGATTCTTAAAATTAATTGACGTATACTGATTACTTATTGTACTAAAAATACTAGCTATAATAAAAATAAATCATTTGTTATTTTATCATATAAAATCCAATGTTATTTTAAAAAATATAAAAAATATATACTTACAATTATCAGAAATACTAAAATCATATGATTTACTACTAGTATAAAATGCTATTTAAAAAGAAAAAGATTATTTCAATTTATTATTAATTAAAACTTAATACTAAAGCATCATACTTTACGTTACCTTCTTGTTTTTCTATTATAAAATAATTAAAAAAAATATTATATTAAAATAAAAGAATAAATAGTCAATAATCATTAAATAGCCATACCTTTTGTTGCATTTTTTGGTTCTGGTAAATTTTTAAATTCATGAATTTTACTTGTAAATAATTTACTGCTAAAAATATTGCTTGTTTTTTTATCAATTTTTGCTATTAATTGAGGTAATTCATTTGGATTATTTTGATAATATGATTTAATTTCTTTAATTTTTTCCCAAAGTGCATAAATATCAGGCCTTTCTAATGGATTAGCATCCCAACATTGTTCCATTAAACTTTTATATTTTGAAGGAATTTCTGATATAATTTTTGGTCTTATACCATCAATGATATTAAGTGCAAGAATACAATCATGTTCATAATTCATAAATGGAGGTTGTCCAAATGAAATTTCCCACATTAGCATTGCAATACTATAAATATCAGATTTAAGTGTATATCCTTTTTCACTAATAACTTCAGGAGCTATGTAAGGAAGATTTCCATATATACTTGTTAATGGTCTATCTGCGGGACCACAAAATCCAAGATCACTAATACGACAACCGTCATTATGATTTGAATATAATATATTTCCAGAATGCAAATCTCTGTGAATTGAATTTTCTTTATGAATAAAATAAAGTGACCTAATTATTTCATAAGCAATTTTAATTCTTTCTTTCCATGTAAGTTGATTATGATTTTGTCGTAAATATTCTCTTAAATTCATATCACATGCAATCATTACAAGCATATAATTTCCATTTGATGGATTTTGTGTTATACCATAACAATTAACAATTGCAGTTTGTTTGTTGCTCATAGTCAAATGTGATTTAGCCTATAAAAAGCAATAAATTTTAATTTTAAATTAAAATTTTTCTTAAATATTTTATATTACAAACCTCTTCAAACCATCTTTGGTTTGCATTTTCAACATTTTCTAATTCTTTAAGTATTACATGTGATACAAGGTTTTGTATTCCATATCTTTTAATTCTTTCTAATTGTTGTGTTTTGGAATCCCATTCTTCATATCCACCACCAATCCAATTCGCTGTATAAATCTTAGAACATCCACCTTTTGTTAGATATTTAATATTTTTTAAATTATTATATGGGATCCATTCAATAATTTTATTTGGCATAAGTGTTTCTAATTGACAATTTCTTATTAAATTGTCAATTTCATTATTTCCGGATGTCCAATTTAAAAAGTTTGCTTTTAAATAATTTCGAATACAATATTCACAATATAATGTAGCTAAACATTTTTGGTTACAATTTTCACAAATTCTTCTTGTTCCTGAATTATGTAAGATTTTATCTCGGTCATAATTTTTATTATCTTTTTTTACTGCTTCAGCTTTTTCTTCTTCTGTAAGAGAATTATCATCAAGGATTGCTTGTTGCATAAATTCGTGTTGTTTATGAAAGTCATTGTGAATATTATAATTAATTGATAATACTGCTCTCACAATCACCCGCCTAATTAAATCATAACGAATATCAGACATATTTATATAAAAATTTGCTTTTTAGATACTGCAAAAAAAGAGAGTTCCAAGTTCCAACGGTTAAACAAAAAGCGGTGCAACCACCAAAATTTTAGTATTGTCTACTGATCTACCTGTCATGTGTTATATCGTGAAACGAAAAAAAGAGCATCCTTATCCTGGACCACGGTCCAGACGCTTATCCTGGACCTCGAATTTGATTGGGCAAAAATTGTTATATTTTTGTAGAATTTTATATACAAAATACAGACAGAATAAAATTAAATTTTCAACTAAAAAATGCATAATTTTTTATAATGTATTTATTTCGTGCAAGAATTACATTTTACTATTAAAAAATTTTTTATTGACAGATTATTTACATCAAAATAATTACTATACAATTGCAGTTTCTGCATAGTGCATAAAACAAAATTCCGCGCGATCAGTTTCTAATATTTTATCTAAAAACAAACAAATATGTAACGATAAATTGAGAAAATTTTTATAATCATAAAGATAAATAATAATAAATAAATGTTATTTTTATACCTTTATTCTGTAATATTTTCAAATAATCAAGCAACTTTTTTGGTAAAGGATTAGGCAAAGATTGATTGCAAAAAAGACAAAATAATTCATTATCTAGTAATGTATAGTTAATCTTTAATACCTTTTTGATATTTAAATTTGAAAAATAATAAATAGTGATAAGACTATACCTTTTTTTTTGCTTAAACCATTGTCTATTTCCACTATTTCCATATCCATTAATTCCGTCACTGATATTTGTGGTAAATTCTGAAATACCCTATGCATTGAACTAGATGCGTTAATATTATCATTTTTTTTATCATCATATTTGGGAATATTTTCTTTTTCTTGTAATGACAATCCACTGCTATTATTGGATCTTGTTTTCCGTTTTTTATTTGATAAGTCATTCATTACTTTACTTTTTTTTTCTAATTTAACGTAGTAAAACTAGTATTAATAATATAATCACATTAATAAAAATTAATTTAAAAAAAACAATTACAAATACCTCTTTTTTTTGAATTATTAGTAGCAGTCTGGGGATTTCTAATTAAATTTTTTGTTGTACTTTTACAAGTTTTTTGATTATTTGCACTTTTTATTCTATTTTGTAATAACGTATTGTTTGTAGTATAAAATTCCTGTGCCATTTCCGGGTACTTTTTTACCAATCCTTTTATTTCATGAAAGACTTTTGATAACAAATATTCATAATCTTCAACACGTTCAATAATTTTGTCATTTGGAGATTGAATATTATTACAAAATAAATGAAAATTTTGCGTTAAAACAAGATTACTTGGATCTTTTCTCTATTGATTATGAAATAATGATTCTGGAAGATTATTTAAATTAAGTTGTGTTGCTACACAAAAAATATGTCGGCAGATAATTCCTGAGAAGGTAGTGTATTTACAAGAACATACAAAATGATTTGTTTCACCATTATGTACCACTTTTCTTCCAGGTTTGGTTTCATGATTAAAACGGTAAATTTGATAAGTTTGCATCGTTTCAGTTCTATTTTTTTTAAAAAAAATCATGCATTTTATAGTATTAGTACATTGTTACAATAAAAAAAGATATTTATAATATATAACATACCTTGAATCTAATAGTTCAATACATAAATAACTCGTAGATTGTAATAACTGTTCTTGCGTTAATTTTAATGCATAATTCGTTAATATTTCTGAGGCCTGATATTCAAGTGGACTTAATGTTTTAAAAGTGACATTTTCATGAATTTGCTTGTATTTAGCTAATTGTAAATCATTTTCACGCTGCTCTAATGCTGATTCAAATGCTTTTAAAAAATCCAATAATGAATGGGAAGCATCCATATAACCTTTCATTAAATTATTCATAGATTCACCACGCTGTGTACTTGTCATATCTGCTAAAAATGTATCTCTTATAAAGCAAGGCGCCCATTTCTCTTTTATTTTATCCATTCTTTCTAAATGTGATTTTGAATCTGGAAAATTTTCTTTAAGTTGCTGCCACTTAATTATAAAATTATCAACTTCATATTCTCTTATGCAATCGTAAAATGATTTAGTGAACTCCCGCCATTTTGTTCCTAGAACATTAGCAATATTTTTGATGACATTTTTCCAAAGATGCCATATACATAAAACATGTTTAGTATTTTGTCCAAATGTGATCTCTATCGCCTGAGAAATTGCTTTGTCTTCGTCAGTAAGCATCACTTTAGGTGAATAATTATTAACAAACTTAAGAAAAGTATTAAATACCCATACAAAACTATCTATTGTTTCTCGACACATTAAAGTTCCAGCAAAGCATAAACTTTGACCAAAATTATTTATTCCAGTAAAAATCCCAAATGGCATATTAAACCTATTAACTTTATATGTGTTATCAAAAACAATAACATCTAAAAATCTGCTATAATATTGCTTTTGATCAGGATACATCCAAATTACTTGAAGTAATTCATTTGTATCAACATCAACTCTAACTTCGTATTCAAATCCATCAATTTCTCTTTTAAGTTGTTTTAAGATATTTATAAATTCTTCTGCTTCAAAAAAGCGTTGTTCTTGTTTACCATTTAACTGATATATGAAATTATAAATATCATTATAGATCCATGTTTCTAAGTCTTTATATTCTTGCTTAAGAATTGAACGAATAGTTGGTACATTACAGCCTGCTTGATGATAAACTATAATTCGATCTTTAATTTCTTGAGGAATTATTCTTTCACTACTAAGAAACATTTTGTGTTCAGGAGCAACCATTTCATGATTATGTTCCAAATTCATGGCTAAAATGTGCCAAAGTCCACTATTATTATCAAGTGAAGCTCTGATAAAAAATGGACAATTACATCTTTGAGATTTACGATCTCTTGAGTTGACTTTATCCTCTTTACTTTCAGAAACACCTGCGCGTGAACATAAGATTGTTCTTCTTATAATATTTTTTTCTTTATCACGACCTACTTTACTCAACCGTACAATATGACGCGTAATTTTGAACTCTTGCTACAAATTCTTCATGATTTTTAAATATATCCGAAATTTTTAATTCAGAAGATTGTTGTGGTTCAGGTTCGGAAGTATTCATAGTTACTAAAAAAAAATATTAAAGAACGAGTTCACACAATTAATTTTTACTCTTTATATTTATATTTTCATATGTTTAAATAGTTGTAGTTATAATACTTACAATATTTTTATAAGTAAAAGATGTGTGGTAAAAAACTTTTAATATGTATTATTGTGTGTATATAAACTCGTGTGGCTAAGTAAAAAAAAATTGTTTTTATTGATTTTATTGATTGAAATTAGCCAATCAAATTTGACTGGCCCAGGATAAGCATTTGGACCGGTGGATCAGGTTAAGGATGGCCCGAAAAAAAAAGAATGATCATATGATCATGATCGACAACCCAGACCTTTATTTATTTATTTATTTTATTGTACATGTAACGATTGTAACGACGTTAAAGATTACACAAAGAAAGTTTATATAGACAAGAATTATTTTGAAAAATTAAAGAAACATTTTAAAAATGATGTTTTGGAAAAAAGAAGTTATTATCAGATAATCAAAGAATTTAGAATAACAAATCCATATAAATTATAGTAAATAAAATTCCAAAATCCTTTAATGGAACTCATGTTTGTTATGGTAAATGTCTATATTATCAATAAATTTAAATAATAATAAAAGATATTAAATATTATTGATGCGTTATAATGAATTGATTCAAATGTTCTCTTTTCTTTTTTTTAAAAAAACACACAAATGATTAAACTTTGTAATTACTCATTCATTGTAAATTAGTCCATCATATCAAGATATTTTGGATCAATTTATTTTTGTAATCGGTTAAGAAAAATATTTTAGGATTGTTAATGAAAATAGTTTTTACTACAAGAAAGAATTTTGGATAATTTTAGTATAAATACTATTATTTTTATGTAAAATTATCCATACTGGGTACATCTGCAAGCCGGGTGAGTATTTTCCTGGAAAAGTTTTATGTTTAGGTAAAATCGATTTTCTATAATAAAACACTGCTCCCCGTAGAGGTAACAATAGGCTATTATGGTATTATATTAATTTTTTTTTGATCACTTAACGTTAATTTAACAAATACTAATAATCATTAAAACAACAACAATTCGGTAACCTGTAAAAAACCGTCTAGATTTTCTATAGCATAAAAAATAAGAATAATTAATCATCAGCTAAAGTTTTTCTAAATGATCCTAATAATTTATTTGTTTTTTTATCATAATTTTATAGAATGGAATTTACAATCAAATTTTAATTATGGTAGTACCAAATATAATTAATACAGATTTTGAATGGTTATTAACAAAGTATTACACTTGTTAATAATGAAAAAATTAATCTGTAAATTCTGTAAATTTAGATTCATCAATTAACATTTCACATTTTCATATACATATTTTATCGAGATCAAAACATACTGATCAAAAAATTTTAAACTTCTGTTTATTAAATTTGAAGAACAATCAAATATAATATGAAGTTTCAAGATAAGTAAACATTTATCATTGGATTTTTAAATTTATAATATGAACTAATTTTTATACTAAATAAATTTAAAAATTTACCTGTATCACAAAAAGCAAATATTTATTTATTATTTATATCCGATTTCGATAACAGATAAGAATATAAAGAATTATTCAAATTACAATCTAAGAAACCTTTTACACTGTAATATCAGTGTTTAAATAATTCAAAATAAATAAATAATAAAATTGCTTTTGATTTAATCTGTAAATTAAAACAATTTAAAATGCTTAATTTACAAGTACGCGTTGATGATTTCCATCGACCGTTAAAAAAATTCATCATTTATTAATTTGGTAATCGATTTACGGAAAATGTAATAAAAAATTGTACAAACTTTAAAGGTCGTTAATAAAAATTTACTTCTAATGAATTAATATTTTCTTTTGACATTGAATTTTTATAACTTTTTTATTATCTTGGTTTTATCCAATATATTAAATTAAATCCGGAATAATTGTGATGATTGATTGATTGATTAAAATCGTCCTCTACGTAATATACGTGCATTATTAATTACTAAAGGTGGCTTTAACCATAAAAAGTTAATTACGTAAAGTATAAAAAAAAGATCTTTCCTTCTTTGGATGATGCCACGGTAAATTCCGGTCTGAAAGAGCCGAGTGCTGATCTCTTGTTTCTATTTATGGTTAGAATGATTATTTTATTTTGGTCAAGGTTAAGTATTTAAGAATTCTGTCCTAACCGGTTAAATGTAGGACCTACAAATAATGGTAAACCGGTTTCCAACCTAAAATATTCACGACATTTGTAAGCTTGTATGTCATATTATTACGAACTCGGGAATTTTGTAATTTTCCTACATAAAAAAAATAAATAAATAACTCTCAAATTTTCAGATTTTCCTTAAATTTCAGATTTAAAAAATTTTCTTTTTTTTTTAAAAAAAATGTTGCTTCGTGAACTTGGTAAAACCGGTGTAAAAATTTCAGCAATCGGTTTAGGATGTATGGTATGTAAAATATCGTCGTTACACTTATTAATCACATGATTTAATTAATACATACCAATTTAATTTCCTTTTGTTTAAAAGGGAATGAGTACTTTTGGTCCATCTGACGAAAAAGAAAATATTAAGGTGTTAAATCGATCAATTGAATTAGGGTCCAACTTTTGGGATACTTCCGTTCGTATTTATATTTTAATAATTAAATTTCAATCATAATAAGACGATGCTTATAACCTTTTAATTTTAAAATATAAAGGATATGTACGGAATGGGAGCCAATGAGATTCTCCTTTCGAAAGTTCTTAAAGATCGTCGTAATGAAGTGTTTCTTTGTACAAAGTTTGGCATCGTTCGAGGTCCAAATGGTGAATTTAAAGGCGTATCTGGTAAACCCGAATACGTTCGTCAAGCTTGTGAAAATTCTTTAAAAAGATTAGGAGTGGATTATATCGATCTTTATTATCTACATCGTATGGATCCTGATACGTAAGTGAAAATATTATTCATTAATATTGAATTAATATAATGAAACTATTATTTTTACATTTTATAGACCCATTGAAGATACTGTTGGTGCTTTAGCAGAACTTGTTAAAGAAGGGAAAATTAAATATATTGGTCTTTCTGAATGTTCCGCAGAAACTCTCCGACGCGCTTGTAAAGTTCATCCTATTGCCGCAGTTCAAGTAAATATATTTTTTTTTAAAAAAAAAATTAACTCATGTATATATATTTTAAATTATTAGAATTAATTAAGAATCATGTATTTTTAAGATGGAATATAGTCCTTGGACTCTTGTTATTGAAACAAATGGAGTTATAGAAGCTTGTCGTGAATTAGGCGTCACTATAGTAGCTTATAGTCCACTCGGACGTGGTTTTCTAACGGTATTTATTATTTTTAAAATGTCTTAATATTTTATGGAAACTTAACGGTAACAATTCACAAATATTTTTTTTTTCTTTTTTCTTCAGGGAAAACTTAAATCTATTGATGATTTTGATAAGAGCGATTATAGAAGATTAATCCCACGTTTTCAAGGTGAAAATTTCAATAAAAATTTAGAAATTGTACGTAAATTTAATGAATTTGCGGATAAGAAAGGTGTAACTTCGGGTCAGCTTTGTTTAGCGTGGGTTCTAGCTCAGGTATATTATAAAAAAAAATTAATTTATATTAATGACCAAAAAAAAATTTTTTATAAATTTAATAATAATAATATTAATATAAATTTTTTATAGGGAGATAATATTGTTGCTATTCCTGGTACAAGAAAAATTAAATATTTAGAAGAAAACGTTGAAGCAGAAAAAATTCATCTTAGTTCTGAAGAATTATCTGAAATTAGAAATATTATCAATTCTATTGAAGTTATTGGTGATAGATATGATGAAATTTTTATGAAGGTGAGAAATCAAATAATTATTTGTGTAACATGATGACCTTTTGTTTTTAATTAATAAATTTCCTTTAATTAAAAAACAGACATTGGATTTTTAAAAAAAAAGCCAACGTTAATAGTTAATTAAAGTTTAATGAATTAAATAAATAAAATTTATAAATGATTATGCAATAACTACATGCTACTTTTTAACATTATTAAACGTTTTGTGAAGATCAAGCGTCTTACTGATATTTACGAAAACGAAGCTCCTGCATTAGGGAGCCAAGTATCTGGCAGGACAAGTTTAACAAATTAGCAATTAATTCTGGCTGAGATAACGAGATATATTTTGTGATTTAATTTATGGTAAAACTAGTTTTGGTACTATTACCAATAATGATTATATAATTTACCCAATACTAATTTAATTCCGTATGAGGAACGATTGCTTATGTCTCTTCTGGTGACCATTCATATGTTTAATATGGCTAATTAGAAAAAAAACTTAAATCAATCGATATAATAATCATTGTAGTACACCTAGTATTCAATATCTTTTGCTCACAATCCTGACAAATCAAAATCCTAAAAATTCAAAATTCTGAAACCATATTATTTATCTTATTCCGAAACTTATTATCTCGACACTTATCCTCTTGACAATTACATTGTAGTAACATAATATTTTAGTACTACAAAAGTGGATTTGTTTTTACTTTTAATGTCAAACGCAGATTATTACAAAACATTATAAACATTAATATGAAATATTAATAATTTTCACAATAAAACGTTAATATTTTCGAAGTGTTTTAAAAAATCATTACATATTTTAAAAGTATTAAAAAAAACATTAATTTTTGCGAAATATTTTAAAAAATTTTACATATTAAATAATAATGAAAAAATATTTAATTGTTATAAATTATTGCAATATATTATTATTTAAAAAGTAAAATAAAAACATTTATTTTTGCGATTTTTGCGATATATTATTAAACATTATTAAGTATTTTAAATATTAAAAAATATATACATTTTGAATAAAAGGAAGTGATGATATAAAATTTAAAAAAAAATAATGTGTTAAGATAGTAGTAAGTGTTGGATTATGAGTATTATGAAGTGTCGGATAATAAATGTCAGAAATAATGTAGTTTCAGGATTTTGGATTTTTGGGATTATGATTTGTCAGGATTGTGAGTGTCGGTTTGTGTTGTGACATTGTAACGGATTCTGATCGTTGGGATTTTGAAAAAGCTCCCATTTATATTTTATACGAGTTTAATGTTCCAAATTATGATGACTTAATAAAAACTTCTCTTTTTTTCAAAAATATCATTTTATAGAAATGTTTCATTAATTTTTCAGAAAATAATTCTAGTTTACATGAACTTTTTTTGTGTAATCTTTTACATTATTAACGCTTTTGACATTTTGACATGTTATGTACAAAAAAAAATAAGGATGATTATGTTACCACCGGATTTATGCGGATCCGAAGGGTAGTAACGGGAAATAAATAGAAAAGTTATAAGGAATCGGCAATAAAAAGTACACGATAGGAAGATAAATGAAGTATTTAGAATCAGGAAACAGTCGGTAGAATTTTTATTAACTATCGGCAAGTATTACTGCCTCATTCGGCGCTCTGTAATATTCAGTAGATCCTTCTTTTACAAATACTAATGCTAGACTTTGAGAAAAATAGACCAAAATCCTTCCTTTTCAGTAATTCCCCACTCGTCCCTTATACTGTATACCTCCCACAATTTGTCAAGTTCAACTTATCCTTTGGCCAATTTGTCCGATACACGAATTGTCTTCCGTCCAAGTTGTCGATCGGCCAAACTGCCTTAAACCAAAAATAACTAAAAAATAAATAAATAAACTATATAAATAATAAAATATACATTTAAAAAATAGATATATCAAATCTATGAATTTGTATAACGTTGTAACAATCACGCAGTTGTCACGAGAATTATTATATAGTTTATTTTTATAGTTTATTTATTTATTTATTTATATATTTATATATATAGTTTATTTTATGTTTATTTGATATATTTTATTTATATAGTATAGTTTATTTTATTTATATAGTTTATTTATACAATTTATATATATATAGTTTATAGGAAATGTGGCGTATGGCTTGGTGGGAATCAATTATGGCTGTGATGGGCGATTCGTACAATGGACGATTTGACCGGAAAACGAGTCGTACTTTGGACGATTTGAATAACGGGCGAGTTGGCCAAAGCACTAATCGTCCCAAATTTTGAACAATATTTAAGGGAAGAGATTCCGCTGAGGTTTCGGGGCAGTGATTTTTCGGTTATTAACACTTAGATAGAATCTTGGGAATATAACAGAGCGCCGGCAGAGGCAGAAATATTGTAAAATTCTTTTGTATTTATTAATAAAGAACCCGCTGATCACTCCAATTTTATACATTTGTTATTGTTTTGATCACCAATTTATTTCCAATTGTTATACATTCAATAAAAATACACTGTTTATAGTTTTATTGCCAATTATTGACGAACCCTTTCAATTTTTTTATGATTTATTGCCGATTGTCACCTATTGTTGGCCGAATCCTGTAAATTAACCCTTATACATTCCTGTTACTACCTTTCGAACAACATAAATCGGTGGTAATACAGTCATCATTTGTGTGACGATGAATCAGATGATCACTTTTTATTCATTTTTACCATGTAGTACATGATTGGTAGATCAATAGACAATATTAAATATCTGATGGTTGCACCATTTATTGGTTTAACCGTCTACGGAAGCTTATTTTCGTATTTACTAGCAAATTAAATATTTTACAATATGTCTAATATTCGAATAGATTTAGTTCAAGCAACACTTATGAGAGCACATGCATCATTCGATCATGGTGACTTCCACGAAGGATATGAATTTACGCAACAAATAATTCTTACTGACGAATCTCTAACAGAAGAAGAAAAAACTGATGCAATAAGAGAAAATAATAAACATTATGACCGAGATAAAATTTTTTATAATTCAGGAACAAGAAGAATTTGTGAAAATTGTAACCAGAAATGTTTAGCTACATTGTATTGTGAATATTGTGTTCGAAATTATTTAAAAGCAAACTTCTCAAACTGGACATCTGGAAATAATAATATTGATAATTTAATAAAGAATTGTCAATTAGAAACACTTTCCTCAGATAACACAATTGAATGGATCCCATATAATAATCTAGAAAATATTAAATATCTAACAAAAGGTGGATTCTCTAATATTTATACAGCAAAATGGATTGATGGTGGATATGAAGAATGGGATTCTAAAGAACAACAATTATTAAGATTTGGAGCTCATAGTGTAATACTTAAAGAATTAGGAAATGTTGAAGATGCAAACCAAAGCTGGTTTGAAGAGGTTTATAATTTAAAACATCTTAAGAGGTACATTTAAAATTTAAATTATTAATAAAATTTATTAATTTTTATAGGCTAAATCACATCTTACTATAGGCAACAAGCTCACTGCAATTATTAAATGTTACGGTATAACACAAAATCCATCAAATGGTAATTATATGCTTGCAATAGAACCGTATGATATGAATTTAAGAGAATATTTACAACAATATCATAATCAACTTACATGGGATAAAAGAATTAGAATTACTTTTGAAATAATTGATCATCTTTATTATATTCATAGAGAAAATTCAATTCATAGAGATTTACATTCTAGAAATATATTATATTCAAATTTTAATGATTGTTGGCGTACTAGTGATCTTGGATTTTGTGGTCCTGCAGACAAATTATCAACAAATATATATGGAAATCTTCCTTACATAGCTCCTGAAGTTATTAGTGGAAAAGGATATACTTTTAAATCTGATATTTACAGTATTGCAATGCTTATGTGGGAAATTTCATTTGGACAACCTCCATTTATGAATTATGAACATGATTGTATTCTTGCACTTAATATCATTGATGGTATAAGACCAAAAATTATATCAGAAATTCCTTCAAAATATAAAAGTTTAATGGAACAATGTTGGGACGCTAATCCATTAAAAAGACCAGATGCTCATGCACTTTTGAAAAAAATCAGAGAAATTAATTCATATTATCGAAATAATCCAAATGAATTACCTCAATTAATAGCAAAGATAGAAAAAAAAACAAGCAATATTTTTAGTAGTAAATTATTTACAAGTAAAATTTATAAATTTGAAAATTTACCTGAACCAAAAAATGCAACAAAAGGTATGGCTATTTAATGATTATTGACTTTATTCTTTTATTTTAATATAATATTTTTTAATTAATTTATAATAGAAGAACAAGAAGGTAATGTAAAGTATAATGCTTTAGCATAATGTTTTGATTAATAATAAATTGAAATAGTCCTTTTTTTAAAAAAATAGCATTTTATACCAGTAGTAAATTATATGATTTTAGTATTTCTGATAATTGTAAGTATTTATTAAAATGACATTGGATTTTATATAATAAAATATTAAATGATTAATCTTTATTATAGCTAGTATTTTTAGCACAATAAGCAATCAGTATACATCAATTAATTTAAAAAATCGTAATGAAGGTAATTTATTTTATATTAAGATTTTATAACAAATAAGTACTAATTTGTAAAGTTAATTTTTAGATAATGATAAAGAATCATCCAGATTATTTAAAAAATTGAAAATGGAGAATGGTAAGTAAACTATTTATTAATATTTCAATTCAATTTTCATATAACATTATTTGAAGATAAAGAACGAAGAATAAATAAATTGATTATTTAAAAACATCAATATTCAAAATTATTATGATAAAGAAACAATACAACAAGAACCAAATGTTGATATTATTGGTAAGTGATATTATTAAATTGCTTGTAAATAATAATTTATCTTATATTATTTTAATTTTTAGATGAAGATGAAGTATATAATAATAATCCAAAATTTCATTTAGAAGAACAAGATGAGTTGAAGATTTCCGATGGTTTGTTTATTATTCAAAAATACTGATAATATATTTAAAATAATAATTACAATTTATTTGTTAGTACATTTATTTTTTTTTTAGACGATTTCAACAAACTAAATTAAATACAATTTTATTTTATTATTTATTATCATGAATTATTTAAACACTAAGATTAGAGTAATAAGAAAATTCTTAGTTTGTAATTTAAATAATTCTTCTTTATTTATATATACTATTGATAAATGTATAAATATAAAATATCAATAAATATTGGTTTTTAAAATTTATTGGAATATTAATCATGTAATTTTTTATTATCAAATTCATTTGGGATATTATGAAAAATAAATTATTAGGCCATCTATTAAAAAATTCTTTTTTTTTATATGCTAAAAATCTAATCAATTACTAGTATTTACTGAGCCAATGAATATAATTAACATTGCATAATCAAAAAAAAATGCTCTCATATTATTATGATCTGCCTGATTATAGAGCAAAATAAATAATTTTTGTAGAGATAGAGAGATAGACGATGACAATACTATCTAAGCCAATTATATGACAATTTTTCATAAAATATGTTCACATGAAGATGATTAATATGAAGTTTAATTGGTCGAGATTTTCTCTCATAATAAAATACAGTAAATACAGTAAAAGAGGACCTCTAACTAAATATATATAGCAGCCAATCTAGGCATTCTTTCAAGACTGAGATTACCAGCAAGCACTTAAAAAGGAAATAAATTCTAGTTGGCTACCTATAAAAGGAAAAATACACATGATTTATTATGAATAATTTTACGCAAACTCGTATCACTACCTTCTTATGTATAGTTTGGGAAAGTTTAAGAAATAATAAAACCAATTCTTTAACAGGCTTAAAATTTTTTTTGTTAATTACAAATATATTGATTTAAAGCATCTTAATTTACTTGCAATGAATGAAAAATTACAAAGTTTAAACATTTGTATAATAATAAATTCGTGCAAAAGGGAAATTTTAATCAAATCAATAATTTTATTTTATTAGAAAAAGTAAAATTAATATATTATTTAAATTATTTATTAAAATAATCATACCAATAGAGTTTAATTTTTTCCTTAAAAATGCGGTTCAGTTTCTTTCAAATCATTAAGCGACTAAGAAAATTCAAGATTAATCACGTGGCATAAGATATGTATAGTTATGAATTTACTAAAATCATGGAAATATTATGTTTGTAATATAATAATGAACAGACAATATAAAATAATAATAAATTGATGTGAATTTCTTAAGCGTACCAAGATAGTGTCTTTAAACGGTTAGTTCTTTACGAGAAATTCCGAAAGAAAAAATTCATCAGTATTGTTAGACAATAAATGAAATAAAAAATTGTGATGAATCCTATTTCAATTGCTAAAATCTAATAAAAGAAAATAAAGATAAATTGTTAATAATCGTATTAACAAATAAATAAAATTTCCCTTCTTTCTAATCATACTTCAAAAAACCACTTGTTTCATTATTAATAATTATTTATTTAGTGCTCTTTTTTTAAAAAAAAAATAAAGCGATTAAGTTTCAAAATCAGTTCTTAATAATCATTCGATAGACGATGGCTATATTATGATCCAAAATTAATATTCAGTTTGTACATCCTTTTAAGTTTGAATAAAAAGAAACTTGTGAACCAACATTATGTTTATTTAAATGGTGGTTACAATTTTTTCTTGGTTTCAATTCTTAGAAAGTTCTATTGAACGACTTTTACCATGTTTTTCTTTCCAAAATTGAAAGTAGATTCGACGTAAGGATCACTTACTCAAATAAATATGGTTATCGATCATGTCATTTTAGGATATGTATTAACTTGTTATACTGTAATTGTGCACGTTCAGTTACCATTAACTAAACATTATTTTATTTGATGACTTTTTTAAAATAGATTTTCAGAAGAAAATGATCTAAAATATGTTAACATTAATTTTATAAACTCACTATGTCACGATATGCCGAGATTATGATATCAGTTTGTACAGATATGTACAGCTTACTGCTTTAAGATTAGTTTTGCCAGATTAACTTTGTAAATTTTTTAACCATTATTTAACGTCATTACAACTGTCATATGCATGTCTGAAATGTGTGCCAGGTTGATGGCGCAGTGTGGCGCAGCGATTTTTTCCAAAAAAATTAAATTGCAATTTTTTTTTATTTAAAATAAAACCTTTAAATTTCTGCATTAGGTGTATTTTTGTCCGCTCTGCAAATTTACTTAAAGCATATACGGGTGGTTTAGAAGGCCATTTTCGAGTTATTTAACAAAAACTGTTCTTTCGACAAATCCAATTTTGGAAATGATCGGCAAAGACGATAAAATCGGTTGTTATATACTAAAGTCAAAATCTACTTCCAAAACCTCCTTCCATTTATAAGTGAATTTTGTAAAACAGATGAAAATACATCTAATGTGTAAATTTGAAAGCTTTACATTAAAAAGAAAATCTTTAACTTAAATCTTTTTGAAATTACTGCGCCACACTGCGCCGTCAACCTGGCACACATTTCAGACGTGCCTGTCATATTAAGTGTTAAAACTATTTTGTCATTTAATTTCAATCAATTTGAGTTAACTTATTATAAATGAAAAATTTTTTTGCAATATTTAAAAGTTCGTTCTTTTCATTAAACACTAAGACTAGAGTAGTAAGATGTCTTGTGAAAAATAACTTTTTTGGATAAGGATTTTTATTGTTTAAAAATAAAAAAAAATTATATAGTGAAAACAAGAAGATAAGATCATTTAAAACGTAAAACAAATTTACATTTGATATTTATTTTACCTATTTCATGATATGAAATACCTCACGTCTCTTATCCTTTTCTCATAATGAGTTTGTCTTGTCTATAAATATTATATCATATCTATTTCGGAACTGATATATAATAATGTAAATGAAGAACCATAAATTACATGACGTAAGGTTAAGCAGACAAGTTCATCTTCACTCTTAAATGAAAAATATAAAGCTATATAAGATTAGATTTCTATATTGAGGGATTATGTTTACCTAGAATTTCTCCAGTTCCCTTTACTTTTAATAAATGTAACGGTATTAGTTTTAATTCATGAAATTTATTGGAAGTAAATCCATTTTGACTATCTCTTAATAATAATTTAAATTTATGATTCTCTCAAATATCACTTTATCAATCCATTTTTAAATAGTTTGATATTATATTTAAAATTAACGATCTTTGATTCAATAATGTTTAAAGTTTCTGGGAATTGAAATGTTGTTTGCCATTTGGTTAAATATCAGGATCCATATATGAATTCAATAAGTCTAAATCTGAAAGTTTTTTTTTTATAGACATCACTTTATGCAAAAATTCTTTAGATAATAAATTAAAAGTAAGAATTTTATAAAGTATTTCTACCATTTTAAAATTATCATTCGTCGGATCTGAAATGAGAGTTTGATTTTGTGCAAGTCTTATTTTAACATGTTACCATACTTCAACTTCCTTCATTTGTAAATTATCTCTTTTAATAAGTGAAATTGATGATTTTTCGGGTAATGAAATAAAATCCAGTAATTTAAATCATTAACATTGTTGAAGTTCTAATAAATTGTTATATTGAAAACTTTTTCGATATGTACCTGGATTTGTTCTCAATTAAATATTTTTGTAAATAATAAACTAATTCACAAAGAAACAGCTTATCAGCAGCGATTAAGACCTTAAAGATATCTAAAGTATTTTATTCATTCAATGAAAAAAAAAATGTCACCATAAAGATACGCACGAAATATTTTTACGTTGGGATCCTTACTTAATATTCAAAATTTAATATAGCTTTGTTTAAATTTTGGGAAAATTGAGTTAGACATTTTTAGGCATAATTTTCAACTTGAAAAGAAAAAACCAATTTATCACATTGATCAAATATATTTGCAAGTGAACTTATTTGATATTACGTTCAGGTATCGTACCAGGTATTACAAATATACTAGAACGTTCCCCAATATATCGGATCCTTAATATAAAACAAATATACAATATATATTTTATCAAAATCCTTTATTTTTTTTTTTGAATAAAAACGTTAAGTAAAAAATTAAGTAGTACATTAAAATATAAGCAATTTTTTTTTTCTTAAAAAATTATTAAAAAGAATTTATAAATGTCCTACATTAATTGAAAAAAATTGATTGATATTGTGAATCTACATAAAATATGATATTTTTATTATCACTGAAATTTATCGTTAACATAGAAAATCAAATCTCTAAATATGGATCCGATTGAGAATTTGAAATTTTATTATATTATGAATTTATAAGTGTAATTGATACGTTGAATTTTTTTATGAGGATTTGATTAAAAAGCTCTTTTTTTTCTAAATGCATTATTCTAGAAATACATTTCATTAATATTAAACATTAAAGATTATACAAAAAAAAAAAAAAAGTTTATAAATTATTTTCTGCGAAATTAATGAAATTAATGTTTTTACAATTTTCTATACAAAAAAAAGCAAAAAAATAAAAAATTTTAAGATCCAGGTTATCGGTGATGATCTTATACGTTTAGAAATGAGAAATAAAGAATTAAATTTATTTTCACTTAATAAAAATGTATATTATTAATAGCAGCCTATCAATTTGTGTGTTGATCAGATGATGCTTTTTAGTACAAATGATGTGGCACATGACAGGTAGATCAGTAGACAATACTAAAAATTTTATTGGTTACACCACTTATTTAATTAACCGTCTATGGAAACATTTTTTTTAATTATAAAAATACAGTGCAAAAAATAATGTCGATTTTTTTTATAAAATGTCTAATATTCGGCGAGAATTAATTTATGCAGTGCTTAGTAGAGCATTTACATCAATTGACACTAATGACTTTCATAAATACCGTGAGTCTGTGAAACAAATAATTCTTGCTGATGATTCTTTTACAGAAGAAGAAAAAACTGAAGCAATAAGAGAAAATAATAAAAATTATGACGCAGATAAAATTTATTATAATTCAGGAACAAGAAGAATTTGTGAAAATTGTAATCAAAAATGTTTAGCTATATTATATTGTGAATATTGTGTTCGAAATTATTTAAAAGCAAACTTCTCAAACTGGACATCTGGAAATAATAATATTGATAATTTAATAAAAAATTGTCAATTAGAAACACTTGGACCAAATGCAATAATTGAATGGATCCCATATAATAATTTAGAAAACATTGAATATCTAACAAAAGGTGGATTCTCTAAGATTTATACAGCAGATTGGATTGATGGACAATATGAAGAATGGGATATTAAAAAACAACAATTAATAAGATTTGGAGCTCAATATGTAATACTTAAAGAATTAGGAAATGTTGAAAATGCAAGTCAAAGTTGGTTTGAAGAGGTTTGTAACTTAAAAAATATTTAAAAGAACTTAAATTTAAATTTAATTATTAATAAAATTTACTGCTTTATATAGGCCAAATCGCATTTTATTATAAGCAACAAACACGCAATAATTGTTGAATGTTATGGTATAACACNATATCTTACAATTTAGCTGGCAGTAAAAAATTATCCAAAGTATTTAAAAAATTGAAGATAAACTCAAAAAATGGTAAGTAAAATATTTGATATATTACCTCCAATTTCAATTAAAATAATAAATATTTACTAAATTTGTTTTATTTAACAACATAGATATTAATAATTATTATGATAAAGAAACAACACGACAAAAACCAAATGTTGATATTGATGGTAAGTAATATTCATTAAATTGCTTTTTAAACAATGATTTATCTTAATACTTATTTTATTTATTTATAAGATGAAGTGCATAATAATCCAAATCTTCATTCAGAAGAACAAGATGAGCTGGAAATTCCGGATGGTTTGTTTGTTATTTTAATTTATTAATAATAATAACAATTAAGGTTTTTTACTAATATATTTATTTTTTTTTTAGATGGATTTTAAATTATTTCATATATTTAAATGTAATTTCATTTTAATATTTATATTATTTTGAATTATTTAAACACTAAGAGAGTATAAAAGAATTCTTAGTTTGTAATTTAAATAATTCTTTATTTATTTATAACTTTATTCAATTATTAAATATTTAAACATAAAATATCAATAAATATTGGTTTAAAAAGAAATGTTACGTGTTAAGCATGTAATTTTTAATTTATTATATGATTCAAAATTTCATTTTTATGATATTATGAAAAAAATAATGATAAAATTATTAAGAATATTTAGAAAAGATTTAATTTAGATAATTGAAAGCTAGGAATTCTTCTTTTTTGTGTTAAAAAAGCTTTAGTCGATTAGTAGTAATAGGTTAATGTTTACTGAAATTAAAATATGATCGACATTTGCGTGATAAAAAAAACCAGCCTGCCTGATCATTAAAAAGAGCAAAATAAAATCAAGTAATCAAAATATTGAGAATACATCAAGAATAAGTAATGTTATTAAAGGTTTGTAACCATTATACATTTTATAAGCATGAATAATACTTACAATACATACAGTACTATGATAATTTAATTAATATCTTACAATTTAGCTGGCAGTAAAAAATTATCCAAAGTATTTAAAAAATTGAAGATAAACTCAAAAAATGGTAAGTAAAATATTTGATATATTACCTCCAATTTCAATTAAAATAATAAATATTTACTAAATTTGTTTTATTTAACAACATAGATATTAATAATTATTATGATAAAGAAACAACACGACAAAAACCAAATGTTGATATTGATGGTAAGTAATATTCATTAAATTGCTTTTTAAACAATGATTTATCTTAATACTTATTTTATTTATTTATAAGATGAAGTGCATAATAATCCAAATCTTCATTCAGAAGAACAAGATGAGCTGGAAATTCCGGATGGTTTGTTTGTTATTTTAATTTATTAATAATAATAACAATTAAGGTTTTTTACTAATATATTTATTTTTTTTTTAGATGGATTTTAAATTATTTCATATATTTAAATGTAATTTCATTTTAATATTTATATTATTTTGAATTATTTAAACACTAAGAGAGTATAAAAGAATTCTTAGTTTGTAATTTAAATAATTCTTTATTTATTTATAACTTTATTCAATTATTAAATATTTAAACATAAAATATCAATAAATATTGGTTTAAAAAGAAATGTTACGTGTTAAGCATGTAATTTTTAATTTATTATATGATTCAAAATTTCATTTTTATGATATTATGAAAAAAATAATGATAAAATTATTAAGAATATTTAGAAAAGATTTAATTTAGATAATTGAAAGCTAGGAATTCTTCTTTTTTGTGTTAAAAAAGCTTTAGTCGATTAGTAGTAATAGGTTAATGTTTACTGAAATTAAAATATGATCGACATTTGCGTGATAAAAAAAACCAGCCTGCCTGATCATTAAAAAGAGCAAAATAAAATCAAGTAATCAAAATATTGAGAATACATCAAGAATAAGTAATGTTATTAAAGGTTTGTAACCATTATACATTTTATAAGCATGAATAATACTTACAATACATACAGTACTATGATAATTTAATTAATATCTTACAATTTAGCTGGCAGTAAAAAATTATCCAAAGTATTTAAAAAATTGAAGATAAACTCAAAAAATGGTAAGTAAAATATTTGATATATTACCTCCAATTTCAATTAAAATAATAAATATTTACTAAATTTGTTTTATTTAACAACATAGATATTAATAATTATTATGATAAAGAAACAACACGACAAAAACCAAATGTTGATATTGATGGTAAGTAATATTCATTAAATTGCTTTTTAAACAATGATTTATCTTAATACTTATTTTATTTATTTATAAGATGAAGTGCATAATAATCCAAATCTTCATTCAGAAGAACAAGATGAGCTGGAAATTCCGGATGGTTTGTTTGTTATTTTAATTTATTAATAATAATAACAATTAAGGTTTTTTACTAATATATTTATTTTTTTTTTAGATGGATTTTAAATTATTTCATATATTTAAATGTAATTTCATTTTAATATTTATATTATTTTGAATTATTTAAACACTAAGAGAGTATAAAAGAATTCTTAGTTTGTAATTTAAATAATTCTTTATTTATTTATAACTTTATTCAATTATTAAATATTTAAACATAAAATATCAATAAATATTGGTTTAAAAAGAAATGTTACGTGTTAAGCATGTAATTTTTAATTTATTATATGATTCAAAATTTCATTTTTATGATATTATGAAAAAAATAATGATAAAATTATTAAGAATATTTAGAAAAGATTTAATTTAGATAATTGAAAGCTAGGAATTCTTCTTTTTTGTGTTAAAAAAGCTTTAGTCGATTAGTAGTAATAGGTTAATGTTTACTGAAATTAAAATATGATCGACATTTGCGTGATAAAAAAAACCAGCCTGCCTGATCATTAAAAAGAGCAAAATAAAATCAAGTAATCAAAATATTGAGAATACATCAAGAATAAGTAATGTTATTAAAGGTTTGTAACCATTATACATTTTATAAGCATGAATAATACTTACAATACATACAGTACTATGATAATTTAATTAATATCTTACAATTTAGCTGGCAGTAAAAAATTATCCAAAGTATTTAAAAAATTGAAGATAAACTCAAAAAATGGTAAGTAAAATATTTGATATATTACCTCCAATTTCAATTAAAATAATAAATATTTACTAAATTTGTTTTATTTAACAACATAGATATTAATAATTATTATGATAAAGAAACAACACGACAAAAACCAAATGTTGATATTGATGGTAAGTAATATTCATTAAATTGCTTTTTAAACAATGATTTATCTTAATACTTATTTTATTTATTTATAAGATGAAGTGCATAATAATCCAAATCTTCATTCAGAAGAACAAGATGAGCTGGAAATTCCGGATGGTTTGTTTGTTATTTTAATTTATTAATAATAATAACAATTAAGGTTTTTTACTAATATATTTATTTTTTTTTTAGATGGATTTTAAATTATTTCATATATTTAAATGTAATTTCATTTTAATATTTATATTATTTTGAATTATTTAAACACTAAGAGAGTATAAAAGAATTCTTAGTTTGTAATTTAAATAATTCTTTATTTATTTATAACTTTATTCAATTATTAAATATTTAAACATAAAATATCAATAAATATTGGTTTAAAAAGAAATGTTACGTGTTAAGCATGTAATTTTTAATTTATTATATGATTCAAAATTTCATTTTTATGATATTATGAAAAAAATAATGATAAAATTATTAAGAATATTTAGAAAAGATTTAATTTAGATAATTGAAAGCTAGGAATTCTTCTTTTTTGTGTTAAAAAAGCTTTAGTCGATTAGTAGTAATAGGTTAATGTTTACTGAAATTAAAATATGATCGACATTTGCGTGATAAAAAAAACCAGCCTGCCTGATCATTAAAAAGAGCAAAATAAAATCAAGTAATCAAAATATTGAGAATACATCAAGAATAAGTAATGTTATTAAAGGTTTGTAACCATTATACATTTTATAAGCATGAATAATACTTACAATACATACAGTACTATGATAATTTAATTAATATCTTACAATTTAGCTGGCAGTAAAAAATTATCCAAAGTATTTAAAAAATTGAAGATAAACTCAAAAAATGGTAAGTAAAATATTTGATATATTACCTCCAATTTCAATTAAAATAATAAATATTTACTAAATTTGTTTTATTTAACAACATAGATATTAATAATTATTATGATAAAGAAACAACACGACAAAAACCAAATGTTGATATTGATGGTAAGTAATATTCATTAAATTGCTTTTTAAACAATGATTTATCTTAATACTTATTTTATTTATTTATAAGATGAAGTGCATAATAATCCAAATCTTCATTCAGAAGAACAAGATGAGCTGGAAATTCCGGATGGTTTGTTTGTTATTTTAATTTATTAATAATAATAACAATTAAGGTTTTTTACTAATATATTTATTTTTTTTTTAGATGGATTTTAAATTATTTCATATATTTAAATGTAATTTCATTTTAATATTTATATTATTTTGAATTATTTAAACACTAAGAGAGTATAAAAGAATTCTTAGTTTGTAATTTAAATAATTCTTTATTTATTTATAACTTTATTCAATTATTAAATATTTAAACATAAAATATCAATAAATATTGGTTTAAAAAGAAATGTTACGTGTTAAGCATGTAATTTTTAATTTATTATATGATTCAAAATTTCATTTTTATGATATTATAAAAAAAATAATGATAAAATTATTAAGAATATTTAGAAAAGATTTAATTTAGATAATTGAAAGCTAGGTATTCTTCTTTTTTGTGTTAAAAAAAGCTTTAGTCGATTAGTAGTAATAGGTTAATGTTTACTGAAATTAAAATATGATCGACATTTGCGTGATAAAAAAAACCAGCCTGCCTGATCATTAAAAAGAGCAAAATAAATATTTCATAGGGGCGTTCTCAGTGGTTAATTACACGGTCAAACATATATTTCTATAGAGAAAGATGATGTTTATATGAAGACAATTGTAGTATTATTTTTTTTCATTATAAATGTGGTAGATATTAAAAGAAATCTCAAATTATTTTCTTTAGCAAAATTATCAAAAAAATTGATCCAAATCATTTTGATATTAGTGACTACGGTCAGTTCACCTTATAACGAATTGTTCGTTATAAGAAAATTCGTTAACATAATGGAAATTCTGGTATCAAATGGAAAAATTTGGAATATTGTAATATACTGTATCACGACGTATATCACACAAATATAAAAGCAGTATAAAAAATAATTGTTATAATAATAGCCATTTAATATATAAAGATGTTATATAATTTGTAGATTTTACTTCGTTATACGGTATACAGCATTTAATCAGTAATATTCGGTATAATGAGAATATTTTATATGTTAAATCAGTGCTATATTAAAAATTCGTTTACTGTAAAATTCGGTATAACACGAGTTCATTATAAAGCGAACCGACATAGTATGAAAATTCTGATCTATCATTTAACCAATAACAGATAATTTAATTACTTGATATTTTTTTAAAATAATTTTCTCTGACTAATATGATATAATTAATTCAGATAATAAAATTTTAATACAATTTTGGGAAGTTCAAGTTGAGTAATTATTTCAATAATGATCCATCAGGTTTATATTTTTATCATTACAGGTTAAGAGAGCGAGTGAAGAGAGTATTATTTACCATCGATAAAATTTTGTGTGATACTAATTCGTCATGTGATATGATGTAAGAGATTTGCATAACGTTAATCATCAAATTCAGAGACTATTGATAAAATGCAACTAACTCTCGGCATAAAAATTTGCCAAGTGTCCCGTACATTATTTTTTTATTTATTTCAACGTGAACTAGGTCACAATACAAATTACAAGGACACTAATCTAGAGCCTAAAGTAATTTACAAAAACTATGAACCAAACCGCCGCTATCGTGACGATGTCACCTTGGTTGATCGAACAAAAGGAAGCCCGTGGCGGGCGATCCCTGAGGGACCGACCACCCTAACCAAAGTAATGAAGGTCAATGAACAAGAAAGCGAACAAAATAAAATAGACAAAACAAAAAAAGAGAATTCTAACTAAATCAAGTCATCCGTATTTTTCTTTTATCTATCGATACTATACGTAAATACTGTCAGGTATACTGTAGAATGGTATATTATAATAGAGGTCCGTCGTTGTTTTTCCTATTTGATGGAGTTATTGATCGTGCGCCGGAGTAGGCGGGTAAATTGAGTAAATGATGGTCTCAAGCGAATCTGCAGCTGAGACGTATGATAAATCGCTGATGGTTGTGTTATCCGGAGGAGGAGTTCTTCGTAAGAAGGTGTCCGGGGCGTTGAGAATATCTCGGTCCTTATCGTTAATGCTATATCGCACATTGGCGTCAGCTTTGTGTGTAACGTCTTCCATGATCATGGTTTGTTGTCTCTGTAGATAGCGTTGTCTGATTTTGAGGGCGTCATAGTAACCATATTGGTAGTTAGGTAGTTTCCTGACGTCGAAACGACGTCGGACTTTATAATCAAATAGGTTGATGTTGTAGGTGTCACGGTAGTAAATACGAGGGTCGCCAGGGGTGCCTGGTAGTATAGGAGGTAAAAGATTTCTTTTTCTTGTTACGTTTCTTCATTCTACGTAACCAATTTTTTTCGCGTCGTTTATCTTTCTTGGAATCTGGGTTGTGACGTGGGTCGTATCGACCAAGCGGGTGTTTATCTGTAAGAAGGTATTATTCAGGTAGGTGATGGATCTGTTTGAAAACTGTAGGATTGTAGACCTTTGAAGATGAAGTATGTAAAATAAAAGGTTTAGTTTTGTGGGTATGTGTTTCTTGTTTAACTTCTAACACGCTGTGTGTAAGACGATTCCATCGGGTAATTTGTTGATGGAAGCGTACGACGTCAAATCATAATCTGGAATGTTCTTTGTAATAAATGCGTTTCTTGATTGCGTTTCCTTTGATGGTTTCTGAGTTTGCCATGACCTTATTTAAGGCAGGTTTGAGTTGACCTTGTTTTTTTACATTGTATCTTTTGTATAGCTAAGCCCAAGGTGATCTCCCGAACTGATTAATCTTTCTAATTGTCGTTTGTGGAAACGTTGTTGTGGTAGGTGAAAGCACTTGCCTCTTGGTAAAGGATTCCCTCGATGGGTTAATTTGACAAATTTACTGCGTTCTCCGCATTGCCATCGATGTTTATATGCGAGAGGTTGAGTGCATTTTTCGTGGTTACAACTGAGGTGAAACCCTAGGTAAATCACGGAACTGAACCGGATAAATGTTTTAGTTAGTTTGTTATTTTCTTTGTCGCTGGAAAGTCTTAATGGCTGAAAATTTTTTGTGTAGCAGTTGGCGTAATCTTTTGAAATATTTGTTTACAGTTTGTTTGGAAAATTGTCGGTTTAGAGAAAAGATGAACGTAAGGTCTATCCCTAAAATGAAATTTAAATAATTTAAATTTTGGTTTGTTTGATGTAGATCGGAATGAATGGTTGGGTAAATCTATATCATTGGTGTAAATCAAGAATTTGTTGTTGATCGAACAGGAGTTCATCTGCCTTGCGAGTGTCCTGTACATTATGTAATCAATAACGAACGGTCACGTGACTAAATAGTAATTCGGGCCAGATTTATAGTACTGGCTAGAATTAAGTATAACTTTATGGAAATTGCTCGATTTAGTTTTGTTACACGGATATAATTCTGGCCGGAATTACATATTTGGCCCGAATTACCAAGGTTGAAAAACCAAGTTCGGTATATTATATACCGAATTCACTATACCGAGGGCCGAGGGGTTCGTTATATCCGGTGGAGACTATAATAACCAAAAATTACATAATAATATTCATGGGAACAACGATTACCCGTGTTTATCATATTACACACATACAAATTATAACTCTAACTTTTTTGGGTTGGATTCACAAATTTAATCCAATTTAATAATAGTAAACAAGATATACCTTCGAAAGGAGATTCATTATCAAAATCATTTAAATAAATATAAAAATATAATGAATATAGTGAAATAGAACCAAAAAAGGTTAAATCTAAAAAAAAAAGTTAAAAAGTTTATTTGTTATTGTCATCATTATTAATCATTCATTTACAAAAAGAAAATAAATTAAAAGATTCTTTTGGAAATGGGCAAAGCAAATTTTTCTTTTAACGCAGAATATTTTTAGAACATTTTCATGTGTTGATATCATTTAGATTTTGTGCGACAAAAAATTAATTAACCTTAGGGAGAAAAATATTTAATACATCAATCTGCAGCAAATAAATTTAATCGGCATAGTTATTAACTATATATTAAAAAGTTGGGTACCGATGCATAAATTGGATTTTCCAAATTAAAGTTGGTATGGGAAAAGTTTTTATCGGTTATCTGTTATTAAAATTAAATAAAAGCGCCAAGAATTATTGATTTTTAAAGAAATTTATTTTTATTTTTATTTTTTTTTTTTTGAAAAAATGTCTTTGCCTTCTCTTCGTGAACTTGGTAAAACTGGGGTGAAAATCCCTGCAATCGGTTTAGGATGCATGGTGTGTATCCTGTCTCTTATACACATCTAGATGTGTATAAGAGACAGGACAAAATATTCTCATGAAATTGAAATTTAATTTTTCTTTGCCTTCTCTTCGTGAACTTGGTAAAACTGGGGTGAAAATCCCTGCAATCGGTTTAGGATGCATGGTGTGTATCTCATACTTATTTCATAGTTCATAATTACTTGTTTTATCACGTGATTTTAATATAATTTTCTTTTTTGGCAGAACATGAGTAGTCTTTACGGGGCAGCTGATGAACAGGAAAATATTAAAATATTAAATCGAGCAATTGAACTAGGATGTACCTTTTGGGATACTGCTGTTTGTATTTAAACTCTTCTAATAAATTCAAGATTTTAATATTAATTTAAACGGAGTATCGCATTTTTTTTTTTAAATTTTGAAATGTAAAGGATATGTATGGATTAGGAGACAATGAAATCCTTCTTTCAAAAGTTCTTAAAGAACATCGTAATGAAGTATTTCTTTGTACAAAGTTTGCATTCTTACAAGAAAATGGCGAAATTAAGGTATCAGGTAAACCTGAATATGTTCGTCAAGCTTGTGAAAATTCTTTAAAAAGATTGGGAATAGATTATATCGATCTTTATTATCAACATCGTGTGGATCCTAATACGTAAGTTAAAGAAATTCTTTAATCTTACCTAAAATTGTTAAAATTTACTTTTTTACAGACCCATTGAAGACACTGTCGGCGCTTTAGCAGAACTTGTTAAAGAAGGAAAAGTTAAATATATTGGTCTTTCTGAATGTTCCGCCGAAACTCTTCGACGCGCTTATAAAGTTCATCCAATTGCCGCAGTTCAGGTAATTATTTATTAAATTATCGACATATTACTTAAATACTAAGTTATAAAACATCATTTTTTTAAGACGGAATATAGTCCTTGGACTCTTGATATTGAAAAAAATGGAGTTCTGGAAGCTTGTCGTGAATTAGGTGTCACTATGGTAGCTTATAGTCCACTAGGGCGCGGCTTTCTAACAGTAATTATCCCATGGGTTATATCTTAATATGAAAAAAAAAAATATATTTTGACTTCAATAAAATTACTTTTAGGGAAAATTTAAATCTATTGATGATTTTGAACCAAATGATTTTAGAAGAACAGTTCCACGTTTTCAAGGTGAAAATTTCAATAAAAATTTGGAACTTGTACAAAAATTCAATGAATTTGCGAGTAAGAAAGGAATAACTACAGGTCAACTATGTTTAGCTTGGGTTATCGGTCAGGTAAATATACTTACTTATATTTTAAAATATTATATTATATATATATATGATAATATTTTTTTTTATATATATATATTATATAGGGTGAGAACTTTGTTACTATTCCTGGTACAAAAAGATTGAAATATTTGGAAGAAAATTTTGAAGCAAGAAATATTCACCTTAGTCCTGAGGAATTATCAGAAATTAGGAAAATTATTGATTCTATTGAAATCGCTGGTGAAAGATACGATGAAAATATTGCGAAGGTAAGGAAATAAAAATTAACTAGGTAATATGTTTAACCCTATTTTTTATATAATATTAACAACCTTTGTCTAAAAAAAAAACAGTTTACGGATAAATAAAAAAAAATCATTCCAATTATAAGTGGACTATATTAAATAAATTTTCATTGAATAGTCGTGATATTTACGTTCACCTTTAAATAAATATATATCTTTCATATAAATTTATTTAGTATAAATAAAAAAATTTTTTTTACATTCATTTTATATTACGATTTTAATTATCGAGTTTAGAACTTTAAAATTTAAAAATATTTGGAATTTTGCGAGTATGGATCATTTACTGTACATCAATTTCATGAATCAATTGAATCATGGAAAAATTATAAACTTAAAGCTTCATATGTACATTGTATTTAATTAAAATTTTTAATAAGAAATCCAATATGTTATTGTACGAGCGTGCTTGCTTCGCGCTACATCAGATCATTATTAAGCGCCCGTACAATAATATTATTATACGGACCATCATATTGACAACGTGCGGCTTCAATTTGAAGTCTCTTTGCCGTAAAAAAAAAATAAAAAAAAAATATTGGTACAACATATACATGAATGGTGGCCGTGTAATAATTATCATATTCAATAAAAAATCGTATTTTGTTTTAGAATACACGCCAAATAATTAGTACTTTTAATTTCTTAATACATCTAAAGCAAGATGAACAATGAACATTTATTTATCCAAGATTTTCATCTAATTATTACAAAATACAATTATAAAAAATTATGTTATTCCTAAGATATAACCCAAATAAACAAAGATTACGTCTTTCTTCATGGATTTGTCCAATTTTCAATAGGAATTTTATTTTAAACCGTGGAATTGCTCTTTAATTGTATGTCTATACATAAAGTATATGATCCTAGTATACTTCTATAGTGACGACTAATTCAAGACGAGTTTTCCATAATTCCATGAGTCTGGGGAAATATCAATACAATAAAAATTATATTTCTTGACCGCAGCAATAGGTTGTTTCTAGTAAAACATTCATAGTAATTGCAAGTTCCGCTAATATGCCTAAATAGGTCTGTAAAAATGCAAATTTACAATTACGCGTTAGTTTACGTAACGTCGATAAATCTGTTTCCAATCTTTTTTGAAATTTTCGTAACATTGGCGATATCATTTAGTCCGAGAAATTTGTTGCCGTGACGACCGATTATTTGACAAAATTTCCAAGCCACGCCGATCCCAATTTTTTTCTTTTTTTTAATAAACCATTTTATTCTAATAAATGGACTCTTTACATATTGTATATACTCTTTTTACTAAAAACAAGTTTTTTTTTTTTTTATTCGAAATATTTGAATAAATATATACAAATAATTAATATTGTTTTATATATAATAAATAACGCCATTTTGATTTGATCAATTATCGTGTGACTCTTTTTTTTGGCGCTACAATGAATCAACCACCCGCAATAAGAACTTTTGAAAAAAAAAATTTCATTGGTTCAATTTCCATATAAATCTTTCTGTATTTCAAAACATTTATATACGAACCAAAAGTTGTATATTAATTCAATTTACCGATTTAATATTACTTAAATGTGATCTAGTTATTATAATTTTATTATTGAATTTATGTTATTATAGTATATTAATTCCAATTATTCGATGATTATACGAATTATGTAAATAATAATATGATTATTACTGTACTACCTGCAGTCCTGCATCTTCAACCTTTCCTCAGGAATAGTGATAACATTAATAATTATGTTTCCAAAAAAAAAAAAGAACTAATATTAATTGACTTTTACTAAATACCTGTTATTATTCAATCTAAGAAATGCTGATTAATTTCTTATTTATAAATTCATGAACTTATGCATTATTTCTTAATTTTTATCGTAATTTAATCTTGAAAATATGGAAACGTTCTTTTAAAATTATTTTAACTCAAAAAAGTTAAACAGATTTATAAACGAAAACTTTAGAGTTTAATCATTTTCCAATCCGAATTTCTATCAGTAAGTTAAGAATTCTGATATATTCTTCAAATATTAATTTTGATAATTCCGTGGATATAGTATAAATTTTCATTTTAAAGAGATTTAATGAAAGAATTCATTGTAACCAATAAAAAAAAAAGCTGATCCGAGTGGAAAAATTTTTTGGTTTTGTTATTAAGAATTATTTTAAATTTCGACATTATACATTTTAAACATAAATACGCAAAGTTAGAATTAAAATATTATACGGTATGCAATAATAAGGTCACGGGGAACTGATTTTCACGGCGCAGCCTGAAAATCATGATTATTCCATAGTGACCCCGTGAAATAACTGATTTGTATCACGGTATCCGTATCATAAGCGACTCTTTATTCCAATATTGATAAACCATCTTTTTAAATAAACACTACCCGTGAAAAAAAATCACGAATTTAACTAGAAACCGTGAGATAAATATAAATACTTAATATTGCTTTGGTCTTCCTATAAGCAAACTCCTCTGAACGGTCCTTTAAGCAAATGAGTAGAAAATGTCAACGCAAGTTAGAAATACACGAACTTCTGTATACAAAATCACTAACAAATATCAAACTTTTTAAGGTTCATATACAACTTTGAAGTTTGAATTTAATAACTGCGAACAAGTTTATCTTGAGTATTTTTGGTTAAGTTAAAACTCAACAACCTAAAATATCTTTACTTAATCCTAGTAATTTTTGTTTGCAGTTAATTTCAAAATTATTCTCGCCATAGTTTTTAACTTCTGTGAAATACATGTGCTTTTAAAGTTTAGATACGATAAAGATATTTTTCTTTTTTTTAAAAAAAAATTATTTACGGTTAACTAAATTATTAAATTTTAAATTCTTGCATGTTAAATTTGGATTTTTTATTTTTATTTTAGATAAATTTTAAGTCAGTACTCAGTAGACTTTTTAACATTACTGATTTTTTTTAATAAGAAATCATCGGTATTAAACGATCTACGTAAACTAAATCTTGCGTTACAATCCGAGTAATAAAAAAGTGTGGCAACGTAAAGAACTTATTTACTTTGAACTAATCCTGTTAGTTTAATGTTATCTGGAATATTCTTTCCAACTAATTACGATAAATAAAAAGTAAAGATTTATTCAAAGTAATTACTCTAAATAAAGCAAGGTATAGCAACTAAAATTTCTCATTTACCGTAGTAACATTTGATTTGCAGAATAATCAGACTTAATGGGTAACCAATTGCCTTTACAGTATTACTAACTTGATTGGGTTAGATTCTCAAATTTAATAAATATACTTATCGAGTTATCGAGTAAAATATTTTTTACTTACTTTCAGTAGTTAATTTTTTTCCACATCAATCCGCAGCAAATACGTAAATAAACGTCAGGGTTTAATTTTAATTGATGATGTTTGCAACTTTAAAACTTGGAATTTTGGCGGTTATGTATCATTAAATTAAATAAAAGCGCTTGGAGTTATCGATTTTACTTTAAAAAAAATTTATTTTTTATTATTTTTTAAAAAATGTCACTTTGTGAACTTAATAAAAATGGTGTAAAAATTCCCGCAGTAGGCTTGGTGTGTTCACCAATTGGTATCGTGATATTGACGTCATTAATTATATCTTTTAATAACAACTTTTATATTATAGGGCACATATACTTACAACTCAGTCGATGAACAAGAAAAAAAATTAAAATATTGAATCGAGCAATTGATTTAGGATGTACCTTTTGGGATACTGCTGTTTGTATTTAAACTTTTTAATAATTTAGTTTAAAATAACGAAAATGATATATTAAATTTTTTTTTAATTTTTTTTTAAAATATAAAGGATAATATTTATGGAGACAATGAAATTCTCCTTTCAAAAGTTCTTAAAGATCGTCGTAATGAAGTGTTTCTTTGTTCAAAATTTGGCATTGTTATAGAACCAAATGGTGAATTTAAAGGTATATCAGGTACACCAGAATACGTCCATCAAGCTTGTGAAAACTCTTTAAAAAGATTAGGAGTGGATTATATCGATCTTTATTATCAACATCGTGTAAAAAAATTATTTAGTATTATTATCAAGAACTGTAATAATAATAAAACTATTAATTTATGATTTTTGTAGACCCATTAAAGATACTATTGGCGCTCTAGCAGAACCTGTTAGAAAAGGAAAAATTAAATATATTGGTCTTTCTGAATGTTCCCAGAAACTCTTCGACGTGCTTATAAAGTTCATCCTATTGCTGCAGTTCAAGTAAATAGATCAATTTTTATAATATCATTATTTTTAACATTCAACGTAAACTAATAACCATTTTCGATCTGTATTAAAATTATTTTTTTAAGTTTGAATATAGTCCTTGGACTCTTGATATTGAAACAAATGGAATTATGGAAGCTTGTCGTGAATTAGGTGTCACCATAGTAGCTTATAGTCCACTTGGACTCGGATTTTTAACAGTATTTATCATTTTTTTAAATTGTCCTTGTATTTTATGAAAACGTAGCGATTTATAAATATATGTACATTTTTTTTTTAGGGAAATTATAAGTCTATCGATGATTTTGAATCAGATGATTATGAGTTTAGAAGATTGATTCCACGTTTTCAAGGTGAAAATTTCAATAAAAATTTGGAAATTGTACATAAATTTAATGAGTTTGCGGAAAAGGAAGGTGTAACTTCGGGTCAGCTTTGTTTAGCATGGGTTCTAGCTCAAGTATATTTATTAACCTTATTTAATTTATTACATTTTAATATCATAACATTTTTTTAAAATATAAAAATACATTATTTAATTTTTTACAGGGAGATAATATGGTTGTTATTGCTAGCACAGGAAAAATTAAACATTTAGAAGAAAATGTTGAAGCAGTAAAAGTTAATCTTAGTTCTGCTGAAGAATTATCTGAAATTAGGAAAATTATTAATTCTATTGAAATTATTGGTAATAGATATAATGATGATTATATGAAGGTAGGAAATCATAATTATTTGATATATATATATATTTGCCCTTTTTTATTAATTTGCAACGAATTAATATTTTCCTTATACAAAAAAATATTATGCGTTAGATGTTGGGTTTGTAAAAAAGTCATCCTCAATTATTATAACTTATTTTATCGACGTGTTTGTTACTTTGCCAATCAAACTGAAATTATAAACAGATAACGATAAATTTATTGTATCTAATAAATTAAATAAAATTCAATAAATTCAAAAATATTATTGTGAAGATTTTCTTATATTACCTTTATGTGATAACTGATGTTGCGAAAATATATGAAAAATTATGAAGACATATTTCATTTTTGTATAAACTTAATTAATCATACAGGGTATAAATCAAAGTAAAATTGTTTCCAGTTAAGGGTTTTAAAACGGATAAAAATGGTTATCCTAATTTCGATCAGAGTTAGTTATTTTAAACAGTTTCTATTTTTCAAAAAAAAAAAAAACGAAATATTTCTACAAACTTCAGATTAAAAAATTTTGTTTCGTGAACTTGGGCCAAAACTAGCATCAAAAATCGGTTTAGGATGAATAAGTATGAATAGTATGTTCACTAATATCGCTTACTAATTATTAATATAATTTCTTTTTGTTTGAAAGGGAATGATGGAGTACTTTTGGCCCATCCGCCGTCTGAAGATAATAAAATGGGTAACATAAATTCGTTACGAAATCATATAATATGATACTAATTAGTTACCAAATTCCCTTTGTCTCGTTAGGAAAAGAAGCAAAATTAATAAATACTTTTTCGATACTCATGAAAAAATAACCATATATGGAGACGCAACTAGTGGATATCGAAAGCGATAAGTAATATTCCAGTATATTAACGTAATAGCTGGACCAACAAAAACTTGTGTCCTAATCATTTTTCTAAAATGTGCTTCAGTTCTTTTAAATCATTAAGGTAATTCAAGATTGACCATACAACAAAAGACGCTTTCATTTCTGTTCTTGGTTTTAACATAATACAATGTTTCATTTATCAAGCGTCGTTGTTTCAAACAACTCTTTATAGTATGAAGAGTCTTTTAACTATTTGCTGATAATGAAAGAAGAATAATGTAAATAATATAATGAAATTGTATTGAATCCTAGTACTTTAATTACTAAATCAAATAAAAAAAAAATAGCATTAGAATATTATCAATGAACAAATAAAATTTTTACCTCCAACTTTATCATATTAATCTCACTTTTATTATCAGCCAACTTCTTTTTTTCTATATAATATAATTATTTCAAAAATGTTATTGTTCTTTGCTAATAATAAATCTATTGTTTTATATTTGCTCGGTATTTCAGAAAATTTACAAAAAATTTGGAATCATCAGATTTTTCAAGAATTTTATTTAAATGGTTGGTATAATTTTCTTGTGACCTAAATTCTTAGGAAGTTCTATTAAATGACTTTTCCTCCATTAAAAAGTGAAAAGAAAGTGATAAACAGGAATTTAAGGTCGCTCATCAAATAAATAAATATAGACAGTCGTCAATAAGGGTATCCAGATATGCACCATTAAACGGATATGTAATATCTTGTATGTATTGTCTTGTACTCTTAAATATTTAGTAATTATAGTTTCAAAATATAATAGTTTTTTTTTCTATATAAAAAAAAAAATTTTTTTACGGAAGAGATGTGAGATTATCTAAAACATGGTTGACCTTTAATTTTTATAAGCTCATTATGTCACGAAAAAGGCAATAAAATTTGCCTGAAAAATATGTCTTTTTTATAATATCAAAACCCTATGGAAATTTTATGCGAATAAATCTTTACCATCAAAGTTAAATTTTTGATTTTCGCCTTTTCATTCAAAACTTCAAAATTTGGCTCATTAAATATCGATAGTAATAAAAAATATCCAAAGTAATAACTAAAATAAAATATTAATTAATTAATTTAAATAATTAAAAAGAAAGAAAGAAAGTTAATCAATTAACATCTAAGAAAAAATATTTTTTTATTATCATTGAAATTTATTGATAACATAGAACAAATATGGAAATTGAAATTTTATTTTACTATGAATTTAAAGGTGATTTATTTTCTTTGAGTTCATGATGATTTGATAAAACTGGTTTTTTTCCAAAAACAACTTTAAAATTAAATTTGCAGGAAATAATTCTAGTCTACAAAATCCTGACCTTTAACGTCATTTGTACCTTTGTAGTTTTTACGTCATATAGGCACAAATAAAATAATAATAATAACAAAAGATCCGATTCCAAGTTTGCTGGCAACATTTTATTGTTTGTCTGATATAATTTGTGTGATTATGATCAGATGATCATTGTCTTTTTACAATGCAACACATGACAGGTAGATCAGTAGACAATATTAAAATTTTTGTGGTTGCACCACTTATTTGTTTAACCGTCTATGGAAACTTTATTTTTTTTTTTGCACTATTAAAAATATTTTTTTCTTTACAAAAATGTCTAATATTCGAAGAGAATTAATAGAAGCGGCACTTAGTAGAGCATTTATATCAATTGATTATAATATTTACAATGGCTTCCACGAACAAAATGAGTTTTGCGAACAATTTATTCTTGTTGATGATTCTCTTACAGAAGAAGAAAAAACTGAAGCAATAAGATTAAATAATAAAAATTATGACCGAGATAAAATTATTTATAATTCAGGAACAAGAAGAATTTGTGAAAATTGTAACCAGAAATGTTTAGCTACATTATATTGTGAATATTGTGTTCAAAATTATTTAAAAACAAACTTTTCAAATTGGACATCTGGAAATAATAATATTGATAATTTAATAAAAAGTTGTCAAATGGAAACATTTATGCCAAATACAGTTATTGAATGGATCCCATACAATAATTTAGAAAATATCAAATATCTAACAAAAGGTGGATTTTCTAAAATTTATACAGCACATTGGATTGGTGGGAACTATGAAGAATGGGATTCTAAAACACAACAATTAGAAAGAATGAAAAGATATGGATTAAAAAATCTTGCAGGTAGAGTAATACTTAAAGAATTAGAAAATGTTGAAAATGCAAGTCAAAGTTGGTTTGAAGAGGTTTGTAACTTAAAAAATATTTAAAAGAACTTAAATTTAAATTTAATTATAAATAAAATTTACTGCTTTTCATAGGTTAAATCACATTTTACTATATGCAACAAACATACAATAATTGTTGAATGTTATGGTATAACACAAAATCCATCAAATGGAAATTATATGCTTGTAATGAATAAATATGACATGAATTTAAGAGAATATTTACAACAAAATCATAATCGACTTACATGGAAAGAAAGAATTAATATTACTTTTTTAATAATTGATGCACTTTATTACATTCATGAAGAGAATTCAATTCATAGAGATTTGCATTCTGGAAATATCTTATATTTACAGAACGATAATTGGAGTATTAGTAATCTTGGATTTTGTGGTCCTGCAGATAAACCATCAACAAGCATTTATGGAAATCTTCCTTACATAGCTCCTGAAGTTATTAATGGAAAGGGCTATACTTTTAAATCTGATATTTATAGTATTGCAATGCTTATGTGGGAAATTTCATTTGGACAACCTCCATTCATGAATTATGAACATGATTATATTCTTGCAATTAATATCATTGATGGTATAAGACCAAAAATTGTATCAGAAATTCCTTCAAAATATAAAAGTTTAATGGAACAATGTTGGGATGCTAATCCATTAAAAAGACCTGAAACTCGTGTACTTTTGGAAAAAATCAGAGAAATTAAAACATATTATCAAAATAATCCAAACGAATTACCTCAATTAATAGCAAAAGTAGATAAAGAAAAAATTAACATGAATAGTAAATCATTTACAAGTAAAATACACAACTTTGAAAATCTACCTAAACCAAAAAATGCAACAGAAGGTATAATTATTTCATATTTTTATTAATTTAATCTTTTTTTAATATTCAGTTATTATTAATAATATCTTTTTTTTTATAAATAACAATAGAAGAACAAAAAGGTAATATAAAATCAATAATGTTTTAGTAATTCCTTTAATTAAAAAAATATTAAGATAATCTTTTCTTTGTTTAAAATAGCATTTTATATCAGCAGATCATATGATTTCAGTATTTCTATTAATAGTAAGTATTTATTAAAATTATATTGAATTTTATACAATAAAATATTAAATATTCATTTTATTATAGCTAGTAATCTTAGTAAATCGAGTAAACAATATACATCAATAAGTTCTAAAGGTAATATATACTTATTAGTGTTTTATAATAAATAAATACTAATTTACTGTATATCTTAATTTTAGATAATGATAGTAAAGAATCACCCAGATTATCCAAAAGATTAAAAATAGAGAATGGTAAGCCCTAAAATATTTATTTGCATATCAATTCTTAAGTTTCTTATAACATTATTGATGAATATGTAATAAAAGTGATTTATTGATAGTAGTAGATGTTCAAAATGACTATGAGAGAGAATTTATGCGACGATCAAATATTGGTACTAATGGTAGGTAAAATAAAATTATTTATTAATTGTGATAAGTATTATTACTCTAATTCATTTTACTTTTACAGACGAAGCACAAAATAGTCTTCATTCAGAGCAAGATAAATCAGAAATTCCTGATGGTTTGTTATTATCTAGTATTTTTAATAGTATATTAAAATAACTAAACTAATACATTTATTTACTAACCTATTTATTTATAGATGAGTTTTAAATTAATTTACGATTTGAATACAAATTCGTTGCGGCTTTATTATTTATCTTATGTTGAATTATTTAAACACTAAGATTCGAGTAAATAGCAAGATTCTTAGTTGAATAATTTATTTTCATAGAAAGACTGAATTAAGTATACAATTATTAAATAAAGGAAATCATTATTATAAATTTATTTTATCATTATACAAGATCATGTAATATAACTTTGTAAAAATGTGTAAATTTGAGTGAATAATAAGTTTAATTGACAGAGTATAAATCTTTTATTCGATTGCATCCTTATTGATCATTCATTATTATAATGGTTAATATTTGTAACGAAACAGTTTAAATAAGGCAAAAGGTTAGAAATAAGGCTATTATAATCATATAGTTACCAACTTGGTGTAAGATAGAATAGAATTACCTTTTATGATGTAATAACGTGAATAATCCGAACATAGTATTTGTCTAAGTGATTCTACATAGCGATAGTGATTCTTATTTTCTTATTTTAAACTCTAATTCTCTGCTTATTCGCTTTTAATGTAAAAACTGTTAATAATATTTCCTCAAATAGCAAAAGGAAAGAATTAAACCATAAAAACATTATACTAAGGTGCAAGAAGCTATAAATATTAACCAAATGAATTAAAGAAGGTAAAGGCTAAATCACACAATTTAATTAGAAGAATATTAATTCATAATATTAAACAGCTAATTTTATTGTTCTTTTTTTTGCATAAAAAGCGAATAGAAAGTGATAAACAGAAAATTAGAATTAAAAATAAAGATTGCTCATAAATCAACAATCACATCATTATTTTCAAAAAAGGGATAAATATTTAACCTTTAAATGTGATAATATATAGTAAAATTTTTACGGAGATATTATTATCTTCTGATTACTTTTTTAAAAAGATTTTTTTTTGTTTCATTGCAGAAGAAAAAATGGGAACTAAATCATGCTAATTTCCAATTTTTTATAAACTCATTATGTCATGAATAAAAAACAATAAATTTTGTTTGAATAGTATTTGCTGTTTTATGTTATTGAATTACCCATACAGTCATCAAAAATTGAAATTTTGATTTCACTTTTTGAAACTTTAAATTCGTCTCATTAAATCAATAATTTATAACTAAAAGAATAAATCATTAATAAAGAAAAATTAATTTCTTATATTTCAAGAAATCGATAAATATTGTAATTTAATGTAAACATATATATCATCAACATTTAATACTTTCTTTTATTATCGTTGAAATTTATTGATAGCGTATTTGACTTATATTAAGTACCCTCTATCTATTACTATAGGGTGCTTGTAAAATTGAATTCTATATATATAAATTTTATATTTTCAAATGAATATTGACTGAGATATAATTAATTTCGGGGTGCTTAATATCAGATTATCAGTCAAATACGATATCACATCACCAATACAGTTCCAATTAAGAGATTTGAAATGTGAATTTATAGGGGTTTAATATTTCGAATTTTATAAAGCACTACTTTTTTTCAAAATGAGAAATGATATAAATTTCACTCAATATCATTGGTAAGCAACAGACAAAAACAGTCATTAATTTGTTCATGATCAGATGATGATCATTATCATTTTCATATCCTTCATCTGGATTAAAAAATGATTTAAACTACAGTATTAATAAAATTTGAAAAAAAAAATTATTTTGAAATTTCTGAAGAGAAAGAATGAATTTATATTGTTGATTGTAAGTCCAATTATACCTTCATCAGCATCTTCAATTAATTCAACAATAGTGGGAATGAAATTCTGATTGTATATTTTTCAAAAGTTCTGTAACAGTTTCGCTAAGATGAACTTAGATCAACAAGTTCCAATTCACTATCAAGTACATGTAAATCATCAAGTTTTTTTCCGTTTATTAGTGTATCTTTGATAACAATTATTACAAGTTATAAGCTATTTAGAAACGCCGTTATCCCCACTATCTATAAATTCGAATGATACTTCAAAAGTTTTACAGCTATTGCAATAGATATCCATTGAAAGGATTTCAAAACGTAACAGTAATGTCAATTGTTTTAAAGTTAAATAAGTAGGACTATAGAAACCACCGGAAACTGCAAAAAAAAGCAGGCCGGTTAAATTATATTTTTGAACTTTATTTCAATAAAATATACGAAAAACTATCTACTTCAGAATAATAGAATAACAATAATATACTGTATTAAATAATAAAAACGTGAATAAGATATGAGGCACATTTATCAAGCTGACATTGAAGACTGTGCCACATCCCAACTTCGCCACATAGTCACGTGCCGAGTTTTTTTCCCCCGGTGACGACGGGTGACGTCCATGTTAGGATTTATTAATAATTTATAAAATTAAACATAGCCCACGTAAATAAAGTAAAAAGAATTAAATTCGGTGATCTTTAACTTTAATTATAACTTTTCATAATAATATTGACGAAAAGTATATACTGTATACTGTATATAAATTATAACATAATGTTAAACAAATATATTATCATGAATTTTCTTAATAAATATTTAGTAATTTATATCATACAATATCTAACCTAATAGAAAATATAATTATTAGACAGATTCATAATAAACTCACAATCATACACTATCATTTGATCTCATGATAATTATTTTTCGTCTAAACATAAAGTGTTATTATTATTCTTACTCTAATATGCGAAATCTTTAGAGAAGTATGCAATAAATACCCAGAGAAATATGCAATAAATATTTCCAAACGCCCACTTTTATCGATTCTAAATAGGTTAAAGATCAACTTTTATTACGGAAACTTCACCGCGATGCCTATTTTTCTTCAGTGTTTTTTTGTGATTTCTGCAATTCAAAAAAAAAAGTTGATTTCAACAGTTAAGGGGTATAGCACCGGGTTTTACTATATTAATTATAATATTATTATAAATTATACTTAATAAATAAATAAAATCGGTAAAAAAAATATTAAGGAACGAACGGGATCGACGTTTTGAAAACCACAATAATCGATTCAAAACATTTTAAATGTGATCTAGTTTTCATAATTTTGTTATTAATAATAAGAACATTTGAATTATTTATTCAATTACTTTAAATAGGAATTACATATTGGCGGATCTTATTCATCCGTAATATCACGTGCTAATGCTAAGCCACTCTAATTAAAAATTATTTAAGAAATCCTCTACTATAGAAAAGTAAAAAATAAAAGTATTAAAGAAGCCAATTTTAGCTTCTTTTAATGTTTATCTTCGAAAATATCTTTGCAAATAAGAAACTGCAGAAGAAAAAAAAGAAGTTTGTTAAGAAAAAAATAACAAAAAAGAAATAAATAGAAAAACAAACTTAAAAATAAAAAAAACTTTTTACTATAACTGTTCATACGACTTATAAAATGATCTGCCGTAAGATAGATGGGTTGAAACAGGTTTTTATATATATGTATTAAGTTTTTTTTGTCTTAACGTAAGTTAAAATCAAAAAAAAATTTTTTTATTGATTTGCAGATTCACCTGATATAAATCCCGTGTATGCTGATCAATTTGACATTACACAAAAAATATTTTGCTATGTCAGATGTAAAACCATCTATAATTGCGATGAACCAAAATCTTCCCATATGATGTAAAAAAATAATACGATTTTAGAATTTTGAATTTTACTGTACCTGCATCTCACTTAATATTTCAATATTACGTTCATTGCATTCATAAAAATGTAGATACAGTAATTATTATCATGTTTCAAGTATTTTTACTAAATACCTGAATATAACTCAAGACTATTAAGAATTACGTCTTTCTTATTCACAAATTCATGTACTTACGCATAATTTCTCAATTTTATTGTAATTTTATCTTGAAAAGCGTGACAACATTCTTCTAAAATCATCTGGTTATCAAATTTATAAACGAAAGTTTTAGTCTTTTCCAATCAAAGTTCACAAGTTCAAGAATTTTTGATATATTCTTCAAATATGAAATCGATAATTCTGTGGAATGTAGATATAGTATAAATTTCATTTTAAAAAGTTTTAATTAATTGACGAATGGAAAATTTTATTGTTTATTTTTTTTTTGTTATAAACTAAAATTCGAATTATTTACGCAAAGTTAGAATTAGAAAATAAACATTTAAATTCAACGGTACGCAAATAATATTATAATAAGATTGGTCGTGTATATATAAATACTTAATTATTGCTTTAGTCATCCTCTAAGCAACCCTTTAAACAAACGAGTAGAGAATATCAGCGCAAGTTAGAATACACAATTTCTGTATACAAAGTCACTAACAAGTATCAAACTTTTTGAGGTTTGTTTTTCTTTATCATTGTGGCCTGTCAACTTAAAATATCTTTACTTAATCCCGGCAATTTTTTTGTTTGCAGATAATTTCTAAATTCATTCTCGCCATAGCTCTAGTTATTCTGTTTCTGTGAAATGCTCTTAAAGTTTGGATACGAGAAAGATATTTTCTTTCTATGATAGAAAATTATTAACAGTCAACTAAATATTATAATCTAATGTAATAATGAAATTAAATTACTGCATGTGGTAAATTTTGGAATTTTTTTTTTATTGTTAACAAATTTAAATCAGCAAAATTTTTTGATTTCTTGCATTTTTAATAGTTATGATTAAGAAATCGTCAGTATTAAAGGACTTACATAAACCAAATCTCACAGTACAATCCGAGTAATAAATCTTGCTATACCAGCACGCCATATATTCTTGATAAAAAGAGAATTATGTAATCAGTCATTATGATAATTTAACATATAATTTTACCATATTACTGGTTTAATAGAAGATATACCGCCGACGAAAAAATTAATATGAAAATTATTATTACAAATGTTACATCACCACAAATAATATATGTAATAAAAGTTTATATTACAATAAAAAAAATTCTTTAAATGATGCACGAGTTATAAAATTCTAAAAATTTATTTACTTTGCGAGCAGGGATATCTCAAAGATCAAATTGGATAGTTTAAAACATTCATATTGTAAAAATCGAAGCGAATATAGAAAATCTGTATTAATAATTAATTTTGAACATATCATACAATTACAATTTACAAGGAGTACTGCAAAATTCAAAGATAATCATATTAATTTGATTTTTAAGTATTCGGAATTTTCTGGACCCAAAATCGTTAATTGATTGATTTTTATAGTAATCAAAAAATTATTTAAAGGTTTATAAATATTCATTTAAGTAAAATTTTTTAACGGTTTTTCTGATTTTACGGGACTTTTGAAAATCTATTTGGAACAACCAATTACCGTATGTTTGTTAACAAAATACAATCATTGAGAAAATTCTTTGGAATATTTTTATTTACTTTTAGTAGTAAAGCTAAACTTTATTAAATAAACGTATGTTTTATTCTACGTCAAATCCGCAGCAAATACATAAATTAAACGTCACGACGTCACGTCGTCAAGGTATATAATGTTTTTGCATGCATGAAACGATTGAAAATTTAGTTATCCGTCATTAAAATTAAATAAAAGCGCTTGGGATTATTGATTTACTTCAAAGAAATTTTTTTTTTTTCGTGAACTTGATACTGTAAAACTAATGTAAAAATCATAATCACTCATCACGTGATGATATAATTTTCTTTTTGATTGGTAGGGCACGAGTGAATTTTACAGTTATGAAAATATTAAAGTATTAAATCGAGTAATTGATATAGGATGTACCTTTTGAAATACTGCTTTTTGTGTTTAAACTCCCAATAAATTCAAGATTTTAATATTAATTTAAATAATATAAAACGGAGTACAATATCTTAATTTTGAAAATGTAAAGGATACATTTGGATCCGGAGCCAATGAAGTTCTTCTTTCAAAAGTTCTTAAAGAACTTCGTAATGAAGTTTTTCTTTATACAAAATTTGCAACCTGAATATGTTTTTCAAACTTGCGAAAATTCTTTAAAAAATTGGGAGTAGATTCAGTATACTATCGACATCGTATGGATCCTAATACGTAAGTAATGAAAATTTCGATCTTACTGAAAATTGCATAATGAATTAACTATTCTTTTTTATAGACCAATTGAAGACACTATCGGCGCTTTAGCAGAACTTGTTAAAGAAGAAAAAGTCAAATATGTTGGTCTTTCTGGATGTTTCGCAGAAACTCTTTGACGTTCATCCTATTGTCGCAGTTCAAGTAAATATATCAATTTTTATTTCCTTCATTATTACTATAAATTATCAAACGTCATATTTTTTTAAGATGGAATATAGTCCTTGGACTCTTGATATTGAAACAATAGTTGCTTGTAGTCCGCTCGGGCGCGGCTTTCAAACAGTAATTATTTTTTTTTAAAAAAAAACTATAAAAACAAAAATTATTTGTATATAGTATGTAGAAAAGAAAATCAAAGAATATTTTTCTAACTCTGATAAATTTTAAATTACTTTTTAGGGAAAATATAAATCTCTTGATGATTTCGAACCGGATGATTTAGAAGAACAGTACCACGTTTTCAAGGTGAAAATTTCATATTTTAAAATGTTATATTATATGCTAATATAATATTCTTAATATTTTTTTTTCTTTTTTATATTTTTATAGGGTGATGACTTTATTACTATTCTTAATACAAGAAGAATTAAGAAATTTTGAAACAGGGAAAATTCGTCTTAGCCAAGAAGAATTTTGTCAGAAAATTAGAAAAATTATTGATTCTATTGAAATTTCGGTAAATAATTATTATTTAGACTATATGTTAACTTTTTTTTTTTACTTTATATTAACGACTTTATTTTAAAAAAACAACTTTTGGATTTTTAAATATTATATTAAATAAAATTTTGGAACTGATTAAGATTATAATAATTTTTATAAATAATTAAAGTTCCCGTATCTTCACACGTTGAACTTTTTGTAGACCAATTAAATTCACTTCCTTAGATTGGTCTCGGTATACATCCGCCAACTTGCAAGCAAAATCCAGTGCCTTATTGCGGTGCGTCATTTTAACCGTCATAATTTTTTTTCCTTCTTCAAGCCAGAAGAAGTGCCACGCGCTCTTAAGGTCTGTCAGTAAACCAAAAACTTTAATCTCATCACGCACAAACAAGTCCGCCGCAATCATTTCCAAAATGATTTGCTTTATATGAGAGCTTTTAACTATTTTCTTCAATTCAATAACCGCTCGAACTCCTGCTTTTTTAACTAAAGCATCTACACTATGACTCTCCACCAGGATTAAATCGGTTGTACCTCACGTATGAAAAGGAAATGGACTGTTTCCGTACGTATTAAGAAAACCTCTTTCACTTGCAACTTCAGAAATAATAACATTTCTAGGGAGTTTTTCTCCGAGGTGCTCTTCAAGATAATTAAGTATATTTTCTCGTTGTTCCACAAAATTTTCGGCGTACTTAGACCAGTTAAAAGCTGGTATATCTTTCCTTGGCAAATTCCCCTTATATTCCAAAGACTGAATGATAAAACCAGATTGCATACAAAAGGAGGAAAATTGAGCTGAAGAAACTGTTGAATACGATACTTTTTCAATTTTTTCTTCCCTTAACTCTTTGATTTCTTGGCGCATTAAATTGATGACCTTCCTTCTCTCTTTCTTAATCTTTTTCCGCAATATCTTGACAACCTCGGTGGTGAGAGATAAAGCCTGGGAGCCTTTTGAAGAAGACAACAAATTGAAAGGCAAGAATCATTGTCAATACATTAAAAAGATTTGATATATTATTAAAGACGAGAATGACTATCGAAGCCAAGCCAAGATACTGCATTTATTATGACTCACTTACCAGAGGGAGACGCTAAATTCTCCTTTTCTTTCTTGCCTTTATGCTTCCTAAACTTCTGTCATATGCAAAGAAAAATATGTGAGTAAAACAGATTCCTCCTACAGAATCAGCAGATCCCTGTAAAAAATTGTATCCATAATTTCTGGTGAATATGATACAATATAATACGGAAAAATAACTAAAATCTAAGCAACTTGGTGCTTTGAGGCTATAAATTCCGTGTATATGATACATATCACAGAATAAAAAAACACAGAATAAATTTTTTTAGGGATCTTAATCATAGAATCTAATAGCAAAATATGCCTGACACAGCACTAATGTGACTGGACGCTCTTTCCCATGCACGAGGGGATGGGACGTAGCATAGCTATGCCCGACACGGCACTAACGTGACTGGACGCTCTTTCCCATGCACGAGGGGATGGGACGTAGCATAACAAGATATGCCCAACACGGCACTAATGTGACTGGATGCTCTTTCCCATGCACGAAGGGATGGGACGTAGCATACTCACTATTCACTATGCTCGTTAGCTAACATTTTCACATCCTAAAAACATAAAAAACACTAACCTTTAACTGATGTTTTAATTTATGTACCTTCCTACTTTCTTTCGATTTTGGATTTAGATACTTTTTTAGAATCTCCAATTCACCACCTAAGTCATTGTGAGATTTACGTTCTGAAGCTTTCGGACATTTTTTGGAAAAAAAATGATCCCATGTCTTTAAGTCCCATTGCGTATGAGAGGTCTGCCAAAATTCTGAAATAAAGTATTAAAAATGTTAGGTATTTAAGCATTAATAAGAAGTGGCAAATATACGCTTAGAAAAATTTTTTGTAGGATAAATTTTGATAGGATAATATGGATAATAAAAATTGCAATTATAACAAATGCTTAAAAAAAAGAAAATAATATCTAAAAATGTTTGTTTTATTATCTTAACAAAATGCATCATTTTTTTTTTATAACGAAATAAAAAAATATTTTAAAAAAAAATATTTTACCTTTATAGAGAACTTTGTTCAAAACTAACTCTGGCAACATCGAGAGATTGAGAACAAAAAAATATTGGGAACAAAAATACTGAGAACAAAAAAAGACAGAAGGAAACGAAATAACACATTAAATAAACTCTTTACAAACGCGTTAAAGGTGCCGTTAAAAGAGCGTTTTATCATGATTAAGTTAAAAAATTTTTTAAGATCCGATGCCGATATATAACATACCATTGATTTTTATTTGTTCACGATGTTTTTGATTGATGAATTTATACAGCGTTTTTTTTATTTGCGGAGTTATTTTCAATGATTTCATGATGTTTTTGATTAACACCCAAGTAGGATTTTAAGGCGATTTTTTACTTTAAAAAGCAAAAATTTTGGTTGATCATTTCATTTCAGTCAGATTTTCACCAAAATTTTCTATTCCGTTTTTGAAAATCATCCACATGCATAGTTGCCATGGATACAAAAAAAATT